GTTAAGTTGTAACTGTGGAGGAGAGGATAAGGGATAGGGATTATATACTACGTGTTTAATTTTAGTCCCGGTTGGTACTACCAACCGAGACTAAAGATCATCTTGATCTTTAGTCCCGGTTGGTAGTACCAACCGTGACTAAAGTGGTGATCTTTAGTCCCGGTTATTGACACCAACCGGGACTAAAGATCCTCGGCCCCCTGACATACATCTGATAGGGGATGAACCCGGTTGGTGTTACCAACCGGGACTAAAGATCAAAATTTTTATAACCGGGACTAAAAACAATCTTTAATCCCGGTTCCTTTTGGATCCGGGACTATTGTGGATTTTGCCGGACTGACCAAAGATGGTTTCTCCACCAGTGGAGTGAGTGTGCATGCGTTGTGGGTGTTGTGTTTATACTGTACTGTTTGTGAAAAGTAAATACGCGAACACAAGTGGAAACTCCTATTCTCACTAAAATTTTATTAAAAACGCACTCGCATATACTTAATATTCGCGCTCATAAGATTTGAGTCCTCGTGGAGAGTCCTTGTGGATAGAGTAATAGACTTGTTCAGTTTCAAAGATAAAATAAAGGATTTGGATTTCTAAGGATGAATTCCTATGGATGTCATTTGGTTTGTACAAATGAGATATAGGAAAATTAGAGAATTTTTTTTCTTTCCTACTCCCTTTGTCTAAAACAAACTCAACCTAGGTGGGATGTGACCCCATTTGGTACAACGAATCTGAACCGTCCTTTATCCAGATTAGTTGTATTAGGAGGGGTTACATCCCCACCTAGTTTGAGTTTTTTTTTACTAAGGGAGTACAAATTATAGAGAGAACATAGAAAATTTTCCATCCAATCAAAACTTATGAAAAAATTCATATGAGTTAATGTATGCATTTATTCCTATTAATTTATTTTTCCTTTTCCTACAAACTAAAATTCCTCTAAAACCAACAAGCCCTTAAGACTCTAGCACCGCATACTAGTTCTTTCACATTATCATTTTTATTTAACAACTAAACTTTAAAGGTAATATGTACTAGATTTCTTAACGTTTTTATTCATAAGGCCATATTCGATTTGGAGGGGATTGGAGGGGTTTAACGGAGAATAATTCCACACCAGGTGTGGAATAAATTCCGTCCAATCTCTCCCTCTTGGGATTAACCGAATATGGCCTAATGGGTATTTGGTTGGGTTTTAATAGACCACACCGCTTTCTAACAATGCACAAATAGTAGAACCAATAATTCGATTGGGTAAATGAGAGACCGATAAGTCAGGGAAATTAATTGTGAGGAAATAAAAAAAAAAGACCAACCTAGCTAATTGATGAAACTGAAAAAGAATATATATAATCGATTTAAAAAGATGCTCCCTGTTGATGAAAATGACATGGTCGTTTAATACTCCAATATGGACTTGGAGAGGGGCGTACATGAAGGGACGACGACCCACTGGGTGGGAAAAAGACGGACATAATTGCCGATAATTTAGGAGCCTTCCTCTAACGTATTTCCGTGTACTAGTTTTCTCTTTAGACAAGCAAGCAATGGAAGAAAAAGAAACAAACAAAGAAAAGAAAGAAAGTGACATTTAATTAGAAAGGGAATATATATTTGAGGCTTGCCAACGACGCGGAGATGTCACCTTTTTAATTAAGATAATAGAAAATTTTATTGAACTCAGCCAATCACATTAAGATGGTTAAAAAACACTGAATATATTTCCGACATCTGTATAATTAGAATACACAGTCAAAAAAACACACCTAAAAGTTTATAAGATGAATAAGACGAATGGTCAAACATGTTTAAAAAAGTCAACGACGTCAAATATTTAGGGAAGGAGGGAGTATGTTATTTTCGTCCCATAAAAATAGAAATAGATACATTAGTCCTAGCAGATGTTGGGATGAGGTTGACAAAAGCCACCAAGAATGAACTGGAGATGAAAAGGAGAGAGATGGTGGTCTTTCTCATAGTCTAGATGATCCATGTTTAAATCGTTTATGATATGTTCTCTTAGTTTCAATGGTTTTTTTAAAACATGTCTACACAGCCTCAATAGTCTATAGTAGTCAAGGGAATTATTCAATATATAATCCTGTGAAAACAAATTGTACATTATTTTCTTTGTGCACATATACATATGAACGGTGTTAAGCACTACCTATAAGTACTTAACGCAGTTAGATCATTGTCTTTACTTAAAATATCACATATCTATATATGCTTATCTCTACTACCATAAAAGGGAGTTGTCCTCCGGTTTCCACCTATCCCACGTTCCAAAAATAATAATAAAAAAAACTGTTCCGTCTGCACCCTTTTCAAGTCCCAGAAAACCGAAAGAAAAAATTGGAAAAGAAAAAAAAAAGTCCCATAACCCGTTACAATGCGCCTCCACATCATAACTTAAAGAAAGAAAAAACAAAGAAAAAAATATTTTCTCCATATCCCGTTGTAACAATGCACAGGCATGTGACTAGCTAGTCATCCTAAATATCCCACCGGCATCACATCCTCCACCATATACAAAATCCTTTTCTCCGTGCAGTCAAAATCCATTTTTCCGTGCGGAGGTAGCACCCGTCTACACCCAGGGGTCTGAAAAAAATCAATATTTTCACGTGCGGCGGCCTAACCACATATGTTAAGTGGACTGCACGAGATAATCGACTATCCCATCTAGTCAACTTATACCGCCCGCATGCACAAAAAAATAAAATAAAATAAAAACCTAACCCTAACCCTAGAATCGCTCGCCGCCGCTCCCGTCGTCGTCGTCGTCGCCGTCGTCGTGCCGCCACATCACCCGGCCACACCCGGCCGCCGCCGCCGCAACCAGCTGCCAGCGCAACTCGTCGTCATCACGACGCCGCCACCGCTCCCCGCAGCTGCCGTCGAGCCCGCCCACCACTGCCACCGTCGTGCCGGACGCCACCGCCACCGGATCCGCACGGATCTGGGCGGGGGATGGCCACCGCCACCAGATCCGGGCGAGGGACAGCCGCCACCGCCGGATCCGGGCGTGGACCGGTTGCCGTCGCACCCGAGCCGCTCGCCGTTACGACCAACCGCTGCCGCCGCTCTCAAGCCCACCACTCCCGGCCGCCGCCACCATTGTGCCGGCAGCCACCGCCGCCGTATCCGTATGGATCCGGGTAGGGATGGCCACCGCCGCTAGATCCGGGCGGGGGATGGCCGCTGCCGCCGGATTGAGTGGGGGCCAATTGCCGTCGCCCCTCGCGGCCACTCCCGAGTCGCTCACCGCCGCCGTCTACCAAGCCGCTCGCCGTCGCGCCCGCCCGATCGTCGCCTCGTCTCCAGCCGCCGCATCGCCTCGCGCCCATTCCCGGCCGCCACCTCGTCGGCGGCGCCGCCGAGCCGGCCGCGTCCCGTGGAGAGGAGAGGAGAGGAGAAGATAAAGAGATGGAAAAAGAGATAGAGAGGAGGGAAGTGAGAGAGAGAGGGGAGTGAAAATAAAAAAGTAAAGGAAGGGAGAGGAGGTGTGAAAATTTTGAAGTGGGTGAGAGGGAGAGGTATTTTCGCGTGCGGTCTACTTAATATGCCCGCACGCAAAAATTGATTTTTCCGTACGTTTCTCTTAAGGAGCCGCACGGGATAATGGGGATCATCCATGCGGTCGGATTAAGACGCCCGCACGGGATAATGCATTTTCCCGTGTGGGCAGCAGCCCGGTGCCGGTCGACCGGTTTTTCCAGACAACACCACTTACGGTTCGTCTGGAATCTACCGGGGCCAGCGTCCAGGAAAATATTTTGTGTACCAGTGTACCTCCCTCTCAATACCACGTATTTCTTCTTCTACGAAGCTATATATTTGGCCACAAAATTAGAAGGGAAAAGAACTAGAAAATAGAAATGATGTCCAATAGGTATGCCAATTTTTTTTTGATCAAACCCAATCACCTTCACAACAAATATACGACACTGACCCGGTGACTTGACCGTTTAAAAAAGCCATTGTCACACCTACTTTCTTTCTCTTTCTGCATCTTACAAATGCTCTTGCCTCTTGTAAGGATGTAAATTAAACGCGGTTATAAACACATGGGTAACACGAGGTATACATATAAACTTGTACGCTATCTAGTTTTTTTTTTCGCCCCTCCCAGTGACACACTATATATACGAAGGAAAGGCCCGTCGTTGTCTAGCTACTAGTTGAGTTGTGCAGCCAAGTCAGCTGCACATGGGGAACAAGCGTGCAACAGCCAGTACACGCTACTACGTACTACATGTTATCAACTCTAACCCTCCGTTTATAAAATATATGACAATACAGACTTTTAAACACTGTTTTATTCAGAAATTTAGTGAAAGTATGAAAAATATAAGCCATATTTGGAGTAACTTTAATGATAAAATAAGTCGCACCAAAATTAATTATACTTACATATTTCTTTCGTCCCAAAATATAGCAATTTATGTTGGATTAGATATATCTTGTGTTAATATAGACAGTCCTAATTTAAAGACGGATTCAGCGTGGGTGCTACTCCGTTGAATAACCATTGAGAAAAAGGGGACAGGGAAGGAGGAAGAAGAGGGAGAGAATAAAGAGAAGTGGGGTCTTGAGGAGGAAGTCGGAGATAAGCCTTCCCCTCTAGTAGAATTGTGGATCTGCTGATCTTGGCCCAATCTAAATAGGTGGCTGCTTAAATTTGTATTGCTAGATGATATATTCAGTATTAAGTTTATATTCCCTCCGTCCTAGAATATTAGCATTTCTAACAATAAATTTGGGCATATATATGTTTAGATTTATAGCTGAAAGTTGTTATGTTTTACGATGGAGGTAGTATATTTTAGTATAGAGGCGGTAGTTTTCAAAGAGACGAAAGGTAAAACTTCATTTATAAAGGTGAACGGTCGTATTAAACACAGAGATAGTATAGTGGCACTGTCTAATTAAGTAAACCACCACCCACTCTCGTCGTACGTACGTGTCCTCGGCTATATATACCTCCTCCGTCTTTCTCGCCTTTCGCCACCACCACCACCAACTCGATCGATTCTTTCCACGGTTTCCATACTACACGAATGGATCGCCACGTCTTGCAGGGCGGCGGCGCCGCCGCCGTGCCGGTGCCGGATCAGTCCAGCTACGGCGGCGGCGGCGCCGGTGGTCATCAGGCGGATGTGGTCGTCGTCGACGGGGCGTTCCTGATGGAGCTGCTCGACGACACGCCGGCGGCGGCTGTGGCGGCGGAGCAGCAGCCGGAAGGCGACGACGCCGACGACCGGCTGAGCCGCGTCATGCGGTCCCTCGAGGCCGAGCTCGGCGGCGCCGGGGCTGCCCCGGCGCCGACGTCGGCGCCGCCGTTGGGGTCCTCCTCCGGCGACGGCGGCTCGCCGGCGAGCGGCGACGGCGGCAGGCTGGATCAGCTGGATGACGTGCTGTCGCTGTCCGACTTCGACGGTGGTGGCAGCAGCCGGCCGGGCTCGTGCTCGGCGCCGCCGTTCGAGTACTGGGCGCGGGCGGAGTTGCCGCCGGCGATGGGGCACGACATGGGCGGCGGCTGGTGCGTCGACGGCGACGGCGACGGCCTCGCCGCCGCCGTGGCAGGGTACGAGTTCGTCAGAGAGCCGTGCTACTACACTTACGGCTACGGTTACAACGAGAGCTCACATGTCGAGCAGCCGTACAGCCCACTTTGGGAATAATTGACAAATTAAATAAAATTTAGGAAAAGAGGCAAGAAAAAAAAAAGATATGCAATCATGGACTAAATGAGGGCAGATATATCTTCAGGGTTTCTTCGGATCGTAGGAACTTTAGAAGAAAATTGGAGGATCCAATTCCTACAGGATTTAAGTATTGTTCACTCAATTCGGTTTGGAGGAATTGGGCATGTGAAAATTGGAAGATTTTTTTTCCTTCACCTATGATTTCATAAGAATTTCATAGGAAACTGAACATTCACTGGGTCCTCTTTTTCATTTTCCTTTGCCAAGACAAATCCTCAATTACATTGATGAACTGTGCAATAATTTTTTACTCGCTACTAAACTTCAGAGGGGAAAAGATAAGAGAGAATGTTCAGTTGCCTTTTTATTATTTAGCCATTTTATATATCTTGCAACGATATTAGGACATGTCAAACATCAGGCTGTTTTTACAGGGAACATATCTTGGCATGAAAAGCAAAAGGGGGAAAATGGGGAGACCTAAAAAGAAGCTGCTAACTGTGCAAAAGGAGAGTGCATAGGACGTACCTGTTTCTGACTTTCCGCTCCTCTGAAATTTATGCATCTCAGATTTTACTTAATTTCAACCAAAACATGCTTATTGCTTGTCACTGATGAATGGCAGGCTGCCATCAACTACGTCTTCCAGAATTCTGCCTATCTTTCATGTGACGTTAATGTTCTTGCAAAACTTTGGTGTTAGCCCCTGTTCTACATGTAAGATTCGCCATGTTTCCTCTCAAAAAGAACAAAAAATATATCGCAAATGTTGGTCAACTTGTAGCTGTATCCCTACCAATTCTTAGCTTCCATTGTACAAGCTTAAGCAGGCAGATCAAACTAAGTTTTCAAGCATGCCATCTCAGCCTGAACAATGAACTCAGAATTTCCACAATTTGCAACCAAAATGGCAACCTCACTACACAGCTACAATCTTGTGCTTATGAAAACTTTAGCAGACACCAGCTTTCCAACAATCCAACGTGCACACAGCTTTTCTACCACATCTCTAGTGGTTTTCTCCACACATGAACAGATGTCTAGTGTTGTGTCAGCTATAATCTAATGCCAGCCAGGTCACAGGGATATCTTCCAAATCCATTACCTCTCACTCATTGGTATAACCGAAGACATGACAATGGAAGAAAAATCTACATTACGACTGAAGTACTGAACTATCATTGCAAACAGAGGATGAGAATGCACAATTTTGTTCTATCCAACAGGAGCCCAGCAAAGTGATTGCGTCAAAAGGGCATCTAAATTAAGCACTAACCGTTTAACCGTCCTTGAACAAGGATACGTTACAAGTGGGATTAATGCCGATCTTTACTAGAATATACCACCAGGTAGCTACATCGCTGATGCGCGGGCTTGACATGAAAATACCCATCGAATTGGAGTGCATTTCTGAGGGAGAGCTCGTCAGATCCACAATGACATTGCCGTAGTGGGGAGGCCAGTAGGCATCTTCACATCAGAACCTAGCACACAGAGAATGATGTTAGTTCCCGGAAAACATGGCTCACTGAACATCCTGCTAACAAACAAATAAAATCTATAAATAATGTTGAACATTGATACAATTTATGCCAGACCAAACATATGCAAGATCAAAAACTCAATAAGGATAGTCGTGATCCTGGATACTGCATAGTTGCACATGACAAACAAATGGATGGCATGAACAAAAAATGCTGAAACTCAGTCACAAAATGCCAGAACCATGCACATTATCAGCACTCCAGTCATGTGAGTTTTAGAACAATTTAATAACTTAGCAACAACGAATCAAAACAAAAAATTATAGCATAATCCTCGAAGTTACCTCTAATTGGCAGGTGGCATTGTAATGAATGCAGCATGCCAGCATGTGGTTTCAACTCATTTAAAATATAAAAACGTAATGGTTTTCATGACTGAAGTTTCATCACTTGTATTGAATGTATCAACATCTAAAATCCAATAAATTATTTCCTCTAATGAAGTGCATTTCAAAACATGACCAAACAAATACACCATTAGAAGTGGGACTCAGGAGTCGGGACCTCCGCTATTTACCATTGAAATATTTTGGTACACTTTAATACCATGAAAAGGTTGCTCTGTTCATATTTTTTACCATTATATGGTAGTCACCATCTGCCATATTCCTGTATTACTAGCCAAATACATGTGCAGTGCTACAGAACATAACAATATACGAGGGACAGCAGCAACATGTGGGATCTCTGGTGAGGGTGGCACCGAACCAAGCAGATCTGAACCAGTTTTTCTGGGTAGCTGGTCTTTTGGGGAAGTTGGCTTTTTCAGTTTTGTAGGGGATAACAGGAGGTTACGCACATAGCGCGGTGGAGTTTGGAGAGCCAACGGCCGAAAACTCATTTAGACCTTGTTCAGTTATTCCCCGTGAGGGAGGGGTTGGAGGGGATTGAGGGAGATTAATTCCACATCTCAATATGTATGGAATTATTCCCCTCCAAATCCCCCTCAATCCCCTTGTGGGTGGGACTAACCAAACAAGGCCTTAGAGTAATAGAGATTTTTGTTCTTTAGACCAATGTGCCCTGTGAAATACTACATAGCAAAAACATCTAGATGCATCTTGGTCTATCGATGATTGATTGACCTGCAATGGAGGCATGGATATAGTGCAGGTGGGCTAACTCATCTCTGACAGGAACTGGAGATAGAACCAGGTTGGTAAGGGACCTTGTCCCATGGAGCAGAATTTGCCCTCAATTTTTTGCTTCATTCTCTGTTCTAGACACCCGTTAAATCTTTCCATATGTGATGATCTAGCTGTATCAGAGAACTCTGAGCTGTCAAAGTGCCCCGGCTATGGTATTCCATGATGGCAACCTAGTCGTCTAAACATCGCCTCAAACTAATGCACCGCATTTGCTTGCTCACCTGCACAACACCCGCCTCACATGTGCAGGAGCCTTTGCCGGATAGAGCACTTGCTCCCCTGCTGTTTCATTCTGACCATCATCACATGGGGTCTTCTAACCCTGATTTCAAAAGGAAGGGGGTGATTTTGAGGAAAGGGGATGAAGCTCAGGCTAGAACCAAGAAAGGTGAGTGCGGAACGGTTGGGAGGCTCAAGCTGACAGAACTAGTAAAAACATTAACAGGTCAGCCATTTGAAGGTATTAAGTGTAACAGAACATTGATGGTATATGGAGCAACATCAATGAATTTTTCATGCTATAGAACCCTTTTTCACTTGAGTTTGACCACAGAAGTATGAGGAAGTCATGTATTGTGGATTTTTCTCATATTTAAATAAGTAGAACAAGTACATAACTACATATTACTAATGAAAGGAAATTTTGCTGCAGGGCACTCCAAAATTGTGGGATTTGCTACAAGACATTCCAAAATTGTGTTACTTGCTGATGGACTCTGCGAGCATCATTATATTATTTCCACCCAAGTGAAGAAAGATAAGGTTTGCAGAAAGTCTATTTTGCCCTTGGTACATGTATTCAGTGTTCTAAAAGTTTGGCCCTAGTCGCTAAGCGCTAGATAGCCGCACCGATTAGCCATTAGATGGCTCATTAGGCAGCTAACCATCCTTGGAGGTCCTTGTGCTGCTACTTGTTTGTTCTATTGTGTAACTTTTATGCAATATGCTTGCTAATTGCTTGGAATTCACTAGTCATGTTGGACCTAGCCAACACCCTGTCGACCGTCTAGTGCACAGCGCCTTCTTGAACAATGCATGTATAATCATCCTCTTTGGACCCAGATTGTGTAAAGAGAGAAAGCAAAAAAGAATTCAGGCTAAACAAGTTCGATGGAGAAAACAGAAGCAGTGAGGCCATTTTCGAAAGTTGCTCCCTGAATCAGTCAAATATGTTATTTTAACAGGATAAGTGTCCAGTATCAAATTACTACGAAATACAAACTTAAAGAGTGTCTTCTAGTTAATAAGTGAACCATGTTTTTTGATATCTTGTGGCAAGACCACAATTTTAGAATTTCCTTTAGCAAATTTTGCCTTACGGAAAACATCAAAGGATTCTAACTATTTCAGAACGCATGAGGTGCATATCTGCATGTTATTTTTCAAAAAAAAAAAAAAAAGGAAAGAAGAAGAAGAAGTTAACTACGCATCTAAGCTCATCACTCATGAATGCCCAAAAATATGAATGGCAATCTCCTCTATCAAATCAAGGTTGTGTGGATGCAAAACTGGCCCCAATAGTCAGTTCTGATTTGAAATACTAAGTTGACTAAGGTCCTTTATAGGAAGATAGCTTACTCCAAAAAAAAAAAAGCAAACAAGTATAAACAATCTCAGCATGAAATTTATGTATCAACTATCAACCATACATTGGCATTTTCTAACCAGACTCTATTGCTCTTTATCACACACAGGGTAACTTTGGGTTTTGCGCAAATTTAATAGGGTTGTATGAGGATGATAATGTTTTAGTACATAATACATGCATGTACCTTTATGAATCAACAAGATAAAAAGAAAAATGCACCATGTGTAAATCTAGCAAGGCAATAACTAATTACTAATATGATACTGGGACTGGTTCTACAAAAGATTTGATGCTCAAAGGCAATTTCCTTTTTTGTTTTAAGAAAAAAGGGGAAAAGTCTTGAACTGTGCTAGATTCAGTTTTTCACCTTGAACTACCTAGTACGAGGTAACCTCGGCATTCCAAATTAACCCCAGCCTCCTTCAAGACCATTACCTCCTTATTAGTCATCCTCGACTGTTAAAACAGGGAATACATCAAGTGGCATAACTAAATAAAAGGATGTCATAAATACCTCGTGGAATGAGTTAATGAGTTCGTTTCATTATTCAACCTAGAGAAAATTCCTTATTTTCCATCTCACGATGCACTTTCCATATTTTTCATTCATAATTTGTTATTCCCTTGTACACCACTAGTTCAACTTCTCTACCCTTTTGTGACATCCACATCACCAAGCCACAAGAGTACCACCCTTAGAGCTCAGAATTTTGTAAAAACAGCAAACTTTGCCCCCACAGTTCAAAGTTAGAGCTCGTCAACTGGTGGTTCAAGGCAGTGGTGGCAGATCTGGAGGATGGGTATGACTGGCAGCTCAAAGTTTTTTTTTACGAGAAACGGTAGGAGAGACTCCTACCGTTATAATATATTAAATATAGATATGTACAAAGTTACATAGCTAGGAAGTCAGCAGGCTCTTCTTTGTCAGTGGCAGCAGCCAATACATCAAAATCATGGGAGTAGAGGAAGACCAGGAGATGGCACACACAACCATCGGCAAGCTTGCCACACAAGCAGCCACCCCAATGGAGGCCCCTGGAAACCTGGAGGGCATCCAGCCATCCATGCAGAATTTGAAAAAGGAAATTAGATAGGGAGATCAGAAGGAGTATTAAACTAACTCATGAAGCCAGATCTATCCAGCATGGAGCAACTCAAATCGAATATCATCAAAGCTGTTGAACAAGAATGGGCGGTAGGCTAGTGGCTCATAGGAGGTATTCAGTGCAGCAGTAAGGACCCCACCAACTTAAGGAGCAAGTGCAGCAACAGCAATGAGGCTTCCACTGCCAGCAAAGTGGTCTTTTCACAACTCAGTTAACAGTGTATTGGTGTTAGATGGAGAGCAAGACATCGAAGGAACACGAAAGGCGTACGAGGAAATGGACAGCTTTGTGTGGAAATAAGAAAAGAGTGCAACTTTCAGTGGCAAATAAGGAAATTTTCTTTACCTCCTATCACTTTTACTCTTCATTCTAAGAAAACATCTCTCATAAAAATGTATGGACGCTTCAAATAATAGCTTAGATACAGTTCTAAATATCATGCAGTATGCACACTCTTAAATATGTAAAGAAATTCTTCCCAACTATACCAAAAACATATGTCTCCTAAGAGTATCAACAATTACATTCATCCCTAATACAACAGATTACTTAATCTTCTCAGTCCTAACCAACAAATTTATCCATATCACAAGAAATCAAGATGTTGGTTTGCATGATATCCACATACCTCTGAATGTCAGGAAAGTGAGAACTCATTCTTCTGTAGCTGGGGTTGTACCTTCCACTTTTTCTGTAGCTGGGGTTGTACCTTCCACTTCTTCTGTAGCTGGGGTTGAAACTTCCGCTTCTTCTGTAGCTGGGGTTGTAACTTCCGCTTCTTCTGTAGCTGCAATTGTAACTTCCACTTCTTTTGTAGATGGGGTTGTAACTTCCACTTCTTCTGTAGCTGGGGTTGTAACTTCCACTTCTTCTGTAGCTGCGGTTGTAATTTTCGCTTCTTCTGTAGCTGGGGTTGTAACTTCCACCTTTTCTGTAGCTGGGGTTGTAACTTCCACCTTTTCTGTAGCTGGAGTTGTAACTTCCACTCCTGTAGCTGCGGTTGTGACTTCCGCTACTTCTGTAGCTGGGGTTGTAACTTTTGCTTCTTCTGTAGCTGGGTTTGTAACTGTTGCTTTTCTTTTTTCCCTGAGAAGATTGATCTCCCGAATCAGTTCTTCTGTTCTGCACCATATAAAATGGATAGAACGTGCCCAGTCATCAAGCTTTGAAAACCATTCATGCTGGAAGTTTTCAATCATTTCATTTGCTATTGCAAGTTTCTGCTGCACCTCCTCCAACCGCTTCTTCTCCAACTCCTTGACACTAAGAACAAGGCCACCGCCACCAGCAACATCACAATAACGAGGCTTGTCACATGGGAACTTCTTCCTGTACTCATCAAAAGAGGCTCGGTTCTGTTTCAATGCCCTCCTATAACCAGTAACCAATTGTGCCATCACATTCAGATCATGCTCAAAGCGTCTAAGCTCTGCTTGCCACTTATTCTCTTGCTCAAACCTGGCTGAGTTCAACGATTGGATAATTTGTTCCTTCTCCTGGAGCATGTTGGCCAAATATTGCTTCTCCACCAGAACATCTTGAAGTTCTCTCTCTTTCTGTTCATAGAACATGCTAGCTTTGCTCATCAAGCTCTGAAAGGGTTCTGCAAAATGTGCATTGAAGACTGATGATCCAGGTGGTATACTACTATTGTTGCTGTTCCGCATTCTCTTATTTGGATTTCTCTGGTCAAACTGCTCATGGCCTGGCATAGGGTCATTGTACTCTTCAATTTCTCCAATGTGCCTCTTCCCATTATTCTCAAAGAAATATGAGCTCCCAGTCCCTAGGTCCAGTCCATTTTTATGAGCATCAGCCCCCATAGCCAAGAATTCTCCGGACGACAGGTCAGGCGCGTTCTCTGAAACATTGTATGTCGCAGGAATTGAGCTCATTGCCTGCAGAAGGTTTGTGGATGTCATCCCATGCAAAGATCCCATCTTTCCAGAGAATCCATCATCGTAGCTGACTTCATTCCTGATCTCATCATCACCTTTGTTCAAATTATCGAACTGAAGGTTTACAAAATCACTCCCGTGATCCTTCTCATCCCCCATTGTCCAATTCATATCTTCGCCCCTATACTGCCCAAATGCATCTTCCTCTGATTCCTCTGCCTCTTCATTGCCACTATCACCCTCACCCAGATTCTCCACATTTGCATCCTCTTCACCATCTGTACTGTCATAATCATTGGCGGAGCCGATGCCCAAGCTCAACCCTGTTGCATCATTCTCCTCATCCCCATCTGCCTCTTCTTCATCATCCTCAGGCACTGCCACAAACTCCTCATGTGTCATCACTACTGTTTCTGCCAATGAGCCTGCATCATTTTCTACCGCAGCCATTGCTGTATCGCCATCTCCCTCTGTCGCCACCTCCTCGTAATTAGGAAGCATCACCTCATGTGTAACAGAAACTTCTTCCACAGACACAAACCCCATCTCCGATTCACCAAAGCTCTTGCCTTTCGCATCCTCATCCACAGCCTCTGATTCATCCAAGTCCATATGATTTGCATCCACATCTTCTGCACGAGTTTCCTCCAATCCCTTACTCACCTTGTCCTCAACATGCGATTCCAATTCCTCCGCACTCGTCCCCCGTACATCCGCATCACCCGACACCAGCTCCTCCAAGCAATTGCTCCTCAAATCTGCACCCCCGGCCTCCGACTTTTCCAAGTTACTGTTCTTCGCATCAGCATCTGCATCCCCCGACTCCAACTCCTCCATGCTCTTGCTCTTCACATCCGTATCATCCTCCCCGTCCTCCTCATCCATGTCGGACACCTCCAAGACAACCTCTCCTCCTCTCTCTCCCTCCTCCGTGCGCTCGAACAGCTCCGGCTTTTGCGCCCAGATGAGCCTCTGCAGATACGCCCCGTAGTAGCACAGCCCATCGTCCCTCTTGGGCAAATCCTGCATCTCCTTCTCGACGAGGCCCCAGATCAGGCCCGCCCAGTCAACCCTATGCGCCGACCCGTCCCTCACCGCCTGCTCCGCGGCGGCCACCTCGGGGGGTAGTATGCACATGTCGTCGCCCTGGAACGGCGGCAGGACGTAGGCCTGCAAGAGCTCCATGGCGGCGGCGGCGACCGCGGCGGGGTCCGCATCCTCGGGCGGCGGTGGGGCCGCGGCGGGGGACGGCTTGCAGGGGAGGCAGAGCGCGTCGGCGAAGTGCTTCCGCGTGACGGCGACGCGGACGCCGCGGACGAAGCTGCGGCGCTGGGGCGGGTCGTAGTAGGCGACGAGGTGGGCGACGAGGTCGGGGCGGAGGGGCTCGGAGGCGGAGGAGGAGAAGGCGGGGCCGAGGCGGGCGAAGCCGAGGAGGCCGAGGGCACGGAGCGCCGCCTCCTCGGGGGACCCCTCGGGCGCGAGGGCGCGCGGCGGCGGCGGGGGCAGCGGGTGGAGGCGGAGGCGGGCGCGGAGGTGGGCCAGGCGCTGCTCGGCGGCGGCGCGCAGCTTCAGGGTGAGGGGCCGCTTGAGCTTGCCGCCGCCGCCGGCGGGGGCCTTCCGCGGCGGCATGTCGGGATCGGAGTTGGCGGCGGCGGCGGAGGGTTGGAGTGGGGGTTGGGGATCGGCGGAGGAGTCGGGCATGGCGGGTGGGGGATTTTGGGGGGTGGTGAGAACGGAAACGCTGCTCTCTCCTGCCTGGGTTTGCGTTCCGTTCGGGCATTGAATGAGGGGAGATTTGGGAAAGATTTTAGGAAAGGTGAAGGGGTTTTTGGTGAAATTTTTGGGTTTCATTTATTTTGTAATTTTTGCTAATAATCAACGAGTGAAGACAAATTTGGTTATACATATTAAATCCTCGAATGGAAGATTATTAGCAATAAATCATATAACAACTTGAAACGAAATTATGGTTACTAAGTTTGAAATGAATAGGTTTACTTTTTATTTATTATTAATAAGTTTATTGCGACTTTTTAGTGATTTTAGTTTGGAATTCATGTTGAAGACTTTGAGTAACAACTAATGTCTACGGATTTTAACTTTACGTTAGAGAAAAACTATATAACGAGACCCCGTCGCACAGGATTGAGTCTTAAACCGTGGCCTGGCACCAACAGCTCTATGGCCTTCAGGGCCGCCTCTGTTTCCACTCTCTCATGGAGTATATACCTAAGTGTGTCTGGTACATATACCGCAATCGGGTCATGCATAGTGGGGTCCATGCACTTAGTGAATGTGTGCATGCATGCACGATGGCCCAAGACATAGTAGAGTCCTCCTGTATGACTGCATGGTAGAACTAGACTTTCATGGATCCGCATGTGCAGGTGGTAGCCGGTGCACCAGTGCATGCATCATCACAAGTACAAGTATATATAACTATATTGATACCTGAGAAGTATCACCATCGATAGTTACATGTATCATCATTTTTATTTAAGCAGGTATCATCATAAGTGCCTACAAGTATCATCACCTCAGCTTAGGAGGTATCACCACTAGCAACTACATTGCTATTTGCGATACCATCACAAAAACTCTAGTGATACCTGGTACCTATATGGTATCAGATAAGACCTGGTACGATGGTACCTATGAATCAGATTGGTACCAATAGGTATCGGACTCGATAGTCTACTATTGATAAGTATCAGACCTGATACACATATCTATTAGATTTGGTACCATTAAAGTATGTGACTTGGTACCCATATAATATTAGATGAGATTTGATACATGGATATCAGCCCTGGTACCAATGGTATTGGATCTGGTAGTCTGGCACCGATGGGTATCAAATGTAGTGCCTATATGGTATCATAAGATTTAGTACTATAGTATCATAAGATCTGGTACTTTTGAGTATTAGTCCTGGTACCGTCGTATACTCGTAGCATTCCCATCTATCCGTATCATCACCAACCTCTTCGAAACTTTTTATAGGCTCTTGTACATATGTGTTTTTCTCCCTTCATACAACGCTAGGCAGCTAGCTAGCATTGGTGTGGAGCAGCACAACTTTCCACGTGGCAGAGTAGAGAAAGATGAATCGGATGGTTTCACATGGCAGAGCAAGAGGGATGAATTGGATGGTGTTGTGCTACGTGGGCGTTGGCACCAAGGTGCACGTAGCTCCGCGTGTGTTGATGAGTGGCAGCAGCGCGAGTGGCTCATTACCTTGCGCATGCGCCCCATGATTTATCCCGTACATGATCGTTGCAATGGGATACCGTCGACTAGCGGTCCTCGTTAGGTTAACAATCTGGCCTTTGATACAGTTGTACACATGCAAAATTTAACTTTTGTGTAGTTTTGCCACTGAAAATATTTTTCCAGGATGATTCCAAGTTGTGGAATATTTGCTTCCTACCAACACCAGTGTTTATTGTATGTGTTCCATCTGTTCTGCAGACTGCATCCGAACAATGCATTTGACGGTGAATGGCGATGATAGACTAATTTGCATGTACGGGTCACGAAACACAAGATTAAATTACTCTGGAGTAGCCACTAGGGATATGTACAATGTTAGTGGTCCAAGCAAACAGCATGCACAACGATGACAACGGTGCGTTCGTGCTAGGTTACACGGAGCATATCAACACATACAGTGAGCTCCTTTGCGAAACTCTATCGCACAGCAAGCAGAAATAGAGTCGTACGTGTCGCACATGAAGTAACTAAACACAGAGTAACATGCATCGAGCTAATGGATGACAGTGGCGTTGTTGCTACCCACCGCGTCAAGTTCAGCTCTGACAAACCATGCTAGCACCATGTTAACCCGTAGTCCGTCGTACTTCCGGGTAGCAGCACTCGACTGCTGTATTGAGGGATGCCTTCCTTTTTCACCTAGGTCAGCGTTTCGCGCTCATCGGGGGATATGAGCAGGCAAGGTGGTGCTGCATGCTGAAAATCGGGAATCAGGATGGAGAACTAGTTCTTGTGCAATTTGACATTGGTGGTGTCACCATCTTCTCGCTGATGTCTCCGGTAACTAAGGAAGCTAACTACCATCCTAGCACACATTGCCATCCTAGCACACATTGCATGCAAACTAGCATGATGCAAGCAAGCATCTGACTGGATAAGTAATAATTTAAGAGCTTGATTAGGTAGACTGAAAGCTGATGGGGACCTTGTATCCACAATAGTTGAGGAAGGGACAGATCGATGGGGACGTCAAGGTTGACGCTGAGCACGTTGGTGTTGATAGCCACGACGTCCAGGACAGCCAGGCTGGTGATGAGCGGGCAGCATAGTGCCTTTGTGGCTTCCCCACCATCACGTGGATAAGTTAGTTCAGCACATCGGCTCGCACACCAAGCTCGACAATGTTCAACTTGGGCACTTGCCCCCGTAGGCGTCGGGCATGGGTGCCCGTCAACCGTCACATGCTACCAACCGTCGATGAGGAAATCACTTTGGAGTTCTAGTTGGTTCGGTAGGGAAGTAGTCCCCACTGACGGCCAGCCTGCAAACCAACACTAGTGCCATGGCGGCCAGTGGCATGGCAAGCATTGGTTCTACCATGTCTGCATGCGGGAGAAGAACACTAGCTTTGGATCTTAACTAGTTTCTCATATAAGCACGTCACGCGAGCCGCAGGATACGTGCAATCCACACGGGTCTAATCGCTTGCGGGTGTCCCACATGGACAAATGATTGCACGTGGTCAGACTCATGGACTACACAAATATGCACGGACGACAATGGACGTGGATGAGATGCAACGTCGAACAAAAAATCGGACGTGTGATGGAATGATACCGAACCAAATTGGACGAGCGCATGCCGCACGCGTGACATGATGCTGGACGCGCGCTAGAATCACCTTCAATTTTTATAACAGGGAAAGAAAGATTTGAACTTTTGAAAATCGTGGTTCACATTAGAAAAAGAAGGGTTATGCCTTTTTCCAAACATTTATACTGCCAGTATCTGTGGTCTGTTTCTTACTTTCTTTCGCCAGTATGTGTCAACAAACATAACATCTAAACTTTAAACAAAGCGTGGTATATTACAGGCATTTTTAAACTCATACTAAACACTCTATAGGCAATGTGCATACGATAGATGACACCAACATCCATCATCAGTGCTAATCACCGTCGCTATGACCAAAAAATAGATTCATGTAGGTACATCATGCATGTTGTAAAGTGAGATGAGTCACAAGTCAACCGCACCTAAGGACATACAATGGTAAAATGATCTACTTCCCCCATTTCATATTATAAGACTTTCTAGCATTACTAACAATCATATATATATATATGTTAATAAATATAGATATATATATGTGTGTCTAGATTCATTAACATCTATATGAATATGGGCAATGCTAGAGGGAGTATAAGATTGATATAGAGAAACATAAAATGATCAAGCAGAAACATAAGTCTAACAGGAATTTCTTTCTCCGATTTAAGGAATGCAAGTCATAAAGCTAATACTAGTGTTGCTGCTTAATCAAAGTTCCGGTAGCCGTCCAGTACGAGGTACATTAATAAAACGAACAGCAGCTAACCCCGCAGAACGTGGGATCCCAAAATGCTGATACAATACACAGAACGAGAAACCTCATCGTGCCCCTAAATCAAACATATAAAAGCGGCACATTTTCAAACTAAAACCAGAAAAAACCCTGGAGGCTTAGCCAAGAACAAACATTCAAGAAACACAACTCGCAAAAGCTTCACATGTCAAACTAGCCGTTCTCCCTTCATGGGCTTACTCTGGCTTTAGAGCATAACATCGCCAGTGCAGGCTCCTCACACCAACAGCACACAAGTTCTACTCTGGGATCATCTGCTCATTGTCCGCGTCACCCTCCTGTTCGATCTGAGGCTGTTTAGGAGCTGAGGCTCCAGGAGCCTGCTTCTTCTTGATACCGCTGACGATGTCGTCGATCCTAAGAAGCATGCAAGCTGCCTCGATAGCTGTCTTGAACGTTTGTGCCTTGACACTGTAAGAATCCCAGATCTGCGACAAGGCAATACTATGGTGTTTTAATGTGTACACAACAAAAGCAGGATATATGCAGCAGTGCACATGGAGAAAAAGGCCAACCTTCCGCTCTTTCATGTCAACAATGTCACCGCTCCTTCCGTCAATGCCAACCCACGCATTTTCACCATTTGCATGCTGAAAAAACAGACATTTAGAAACAGGTAACAAAAAGTAATGCAAATACAATTACTTCTCTAAGTACTACTTGGTGCATGTTCAAAGGTAGAGCCCAGTATGAGCTCAGACAATACAAGATCATTTAGAGACTGCCCTTACAACAGTTGAGACAACAATGGCTAACTATTAACCACAAAAAAATGATTATTGTTTTTTCACTTTTTCCACCCTCATGCAGCCAAATTTCCATTTTATAGAGGCTAAGAGTCGTTGCTGAGGATGTTGTCTCCTCTTTCGCTCTCTTCCATGTTAGTAAATATTCATAATTAGAAATGTTAAGAGCCCGCTACTAATTACTACCTCCGTCCCTTAGGGCAAGTACAAAGGTAGAGACCGGTATGGTCTCTACGTTAATTAGAGGCTATCACGTTACAATAGTTAAGACAATACGGTCTCTAACCATTAATGTACCAAAATACTTTCTTACTAGTCATCTTTCCTTTATTAGACTAAATGCAACAAAAAATTTCCTAATAAATGCTAAGAGCCGACTCTATGCCGTTGTCATGCGTAGCAACCATCTTTCTCTTTCCTTCTTCCTCTCTCTTCCACGTCACCAAATATGCTTGCATGATAATAAAGAGAGACCGCTAATAAAGACCATTGTACATGCCCTAAGAAGTTCTAGAGTTGGACACGGTTATTAAGAAAGTAGGTAGAATTAAATGGGGAGAGGTTGTGATTAGTTGAGAAGTGGAGACATGTGGGAAAAGTGAATGGTGAAGGGTTGTGATTGGTTGGGAAGAGAATGTTGATTGAGAAGTTGTTATATTTTGGAACAATTCTAAGTGCTAGAAGTAGTTATATTTTGGAACGGAGAGAGTACTGTTGCACATGCCCTCAAGAAACATGATGCAAAGATGGAATACTAGGTTGTCAATAAGATTAATAATTATTCCTGAGTCGGTATATAAGGACAATTCACAGTTTCATTACTGTCCTTTCCATTATACTCAGTAGTTGGAAATTTAGGTCTGTCCTGAGGGTCTCACGAAGTACTTACCAACATATCCTGTAAAAAGATCAGTAATCTGAAACTATTGCTATGATATGCTTATGCCCACTCAACAAACTAAAAAAGAAAATCAAACATCACAAAAGCTTCCGTATTTCTTTTCAGACAAGCCCTAGTCAAATCTCTACCCAGAAACTTAACCCCATCTTCCCTCTAGCTTATTTTCAACAGTCAGCCATTGAAGAAGTGAAGCACTCTAGACAGGATCCATGAATGCTGGAGTCCCTCCTCTGAGACTGAGAGCCCCAGCTTCCAACATTTCCACAAGTGTTAACAAGAAGAGTTTAATTATTACCTTTCCCTGGAGTTGTGTCATTATCCTGATGACATTCAACCCACAATTTTGAGCCAAAGTTCTTGGAATTGCTTCAAATGCTAAAGCAGCAGCTTCATAGGGCCACTGATCCAAACAAACAAAATATAAATAAGATATAACATAGTCACAAAACAGAAAGTAGCCATTAAAAAAACTAATGAATGCTGCATTGATGAATGACTTAGACAAACATACAAATAGGCAAGCACCTCTTTATGAGAACACTTTGCTAACCTTTTAAATCACTAACATAAAAATATGCTGAAAAAGTACCTTTTCTACACCTTCAACTGAAGAACTCTTTTGCTTCAGTGCTGCTGATACAGTCAGCTCGGTAGCACCACCTCCAGGTAAAAGTTTTGGGTTTTTCAAAATGTTCCTTGCAACAGACATGGCATCCTGTCAAAAAGAATAAGAAATGGTTATTGGTGAACATGGCATGCAAAATTACAGGTACCACAGGAACATTAACAAATACCTGAAGGTTCCTCTCAACCTCATTCAGGACATCCTTGCTTGCTCCCCTCAAAAGAACAGTGCATGCCTTGGGATCTTTGCAGTCGACAATGAAGGTAAAGAATTCATCACCTATCTTCTTGACCTCAAAGAGGCCAGCTCTTGTTCCAACATCCGATTCTTGAAGCTCCTCTGGCCTGTTCACTATGACTGCTCCACAAGCCTTAGCAATCCTGTTGTTATCAGTCTTCCTTAGCCTACGAATTGCACTAACACCAGCCTTGCTTAGGTAATGGATAGCAAGATCACTGAGACCTTTCTCTGTGACAACTAAATCAGGCTTGAATTTTAAAATCTGCGCACAGAGGTTCTTTATGTATTCTTCCTCCATCTCTAGCAGAACCTGCCTGAAATAGCATATTTACAAATTATTCCATGCTACATTGCTTCAATAGCACCACAATAGTTCAACAATTCAAATTGGCAAAACATTTGAATTTATCCATCCCTTACCAATCTTCTTCCTTCATCAGTTCAGCATTGGTCTGGTTTTCTCCTTTCTTGTACTCAACAGGGCAATCCAGAAGGATAATGCGGGGGTTGACTATCTTCCTTCTCATTTTTCCAGGAGCTACAACATCTTTATTGAACATAACTCCTTTAAGAACCCGTGAATCCTCTAACTGACCACCAGGAACCTTCTCCACTTTGATATATTTCTTGATATCAACTTCACGCATACCTTGACCTAGGTCAACACCTGCTGTTGTAGTAGCATCAATAGCAAGGTCCTGAGCATAGTACAACAAGACGTCAGATAAACTATAAACTGAACACACTTAACCGAGAAGTTGTGTGGCACTCAAATCTTGAATAAAAGAAATACTTACAGCAATAAGGTCACCAAACTGACCCGTGAATTTTGTACCAATAGAGCTCTTCACTAGCCCTAGCATAGCAGCACCTGCATTATGGTACATCTCACTCAAATCAGTAACAAAAACACAGAAGACGATACATAGATTCTCCAAACTAAAATTTGCAATATTTGTAATAAGCTTGACATATACTTACGGTCATTCACGTCAACATGCATTGCAATTTTGTCAAGGACAGCTAAAGCATCCTCAAGAGCTTTGGTGTATGCTGAAAATGAGAGACACTAAATGTTTCAGAACAGACTAAAAAATCAACAAAGGAAATAACACCATCTGATACAATGATCAAGCAATACCTCGGCAAATAACAGTTGGGTGGTAGTGCTTATCAATGAATGCTTCTGCAACATGGAGCATCTCACCAGCTAAAAAATAATAATTAAAGTTAGTGCATCAGAAGAAAATGATAAAATCCAACAAAGTTGCTCACATTGATCTGATGGAGCACCTACAAGTTATTGCTATTCTACCCCTAACACACCAAAATAATCTTACTTAATCATGCAGAGTTAGCTTAAAATTTGCAGTGGGGTTTGCTAACTTTCCTTGACAGTTGCCACAGACGTTTATTGATGACTTTGCAGCTCATAGTAATAGCCAAGTGTTTTAGTTCGACCAGAAAGAGATGTCACGATATCCTAGTGTTGCGATCTCATATGACATTTAAATAAAACTGAATGAAACTGAATGAATCAGGGAACACATACCTAAAACAATGACAGATGTTGTGCCATCACCAACTTCTTCATCCTGTGTACGGCTTAGCTCAATCATAGACTGCCAAAGAGTGACAAGAAAGTTAGATTAAGTACTAATTCATACATTAGCAGAAAATATTGGCAATTTAACACATCAGACTAATAATTTCATCAGTAGTACTCAACAGAGAGAAAACATCTAACGTTCCACATACCTTGGCAGCAGGATGTGCAATATCTATTTCTCGCAATATAGCATTGCCATCATTAGTAACCACAATACCTGCAAAAACAGAAAGAACCCAAATACAATGAACCTTGTAAAACCAGGAAAATTGCAAATGTGAAAACAGAAATGCCTCCAAGGTGATGAGATAGAAAATGAATTATCTTCTATCTCCGTTCTCAGCATAATGTACTGCACAAAAGTACTCACGATAATTTTCTTAAAAAGCTATATACAAATGAAGGCGCAAGTTGCAAATGGCATAAACAAAAGTATGCAAGTGACCTAATAATGTGGTGCAAAAGCCTGTTTGGGTTATCCATTGAGTAAAACCAGTTCAAAAGGATCACATGCAACATGGCTGAACTGCTTTGTCATTGCCCAGAAGAGACTCAACTTTTTTGAGTAAACGATGGTCATCATTAATACTAGTTATGGTTAATATAAGCAACAAGTGACACTCAACTACTGTTTTCACTTTTTTTAAAAAACAAAAGTAGAAAAGTGAAGGAAAGATCATTGATGTGAAAATATAGAGAAAAAATAAAAAAACAAGCCATTTCCATACATAAAGGTGTAAAAGCTGAGTAAAAATCATTGTGTGCAAGCGACAAAATAATTAATGCTGCTCTTCACGTGAGACATCTAGTGGCAATCCAATTCAAACATCGGTGGAACTAGTCTTTGTGGAAGTGAGAATGCAGGCATAATTTTCAAGCATTGGTTTAGTAACTTAGAAATAGGCATCTTGGCATGGTTTCTTCAAACATGTGCAGTTTTATGTTGTTGCAATTTGCAAATGCATTTACGATGTTGGCACGGCTCAAAAAAGGTTAAAACACAGTTAATATGTTAGCGACAAATTTTATTTACAAATTCTAGTCCTGTGAAGATTTAGAAAAGGTTATGAAAAGCCCATTTATTACAGCAATATGGCCAAAATATTATGTATGTCTACAGCAATCGAGATCTGTCAAATACTTTGTGAAAGACACTGATCCTGATTTGTATTACTTAGGAAGCACATTAGTCTATGGGAGGATTGAGTAGTAGTCTATGGGATAATTGAGTAGGTAATAAATAAATGTACAAATAAAAAACAATTAGCCAATGTCAACTTTAATAAGTGAGTTAATTTAATCCAACTGCTCTTGCATCAGAACGTAACATCAAACATATAGAGCCAACATATTGACTAGGGAGGGATTTTTACACAGATACACAATAAAGAACAAATTTGGATTAGTAACTTATTCGTGGCTGTGCCCTTCGGAAGGATATCTGTGTATACACCCAACTTTCAGTGGTAAATAGTGGGAATCTAGTGTCTTGTGTTTAAACATAACGTATTCCTCTGAAAAGGCTATGGCAGGCTAGCATTATGAGTGGGCCGACACAAAAATTAACAGATATACAATAGAATGAAGCACAACTGTACCAAAGCTTATTCAATACAAGTAAATAATCATCAAGTGTGCACCGTGAAAAGTGCAATACTGAAGTGTTTATACACTAGATTAGAGTTCAGACAGCACCTCCAGAAGCATCCAGAAGCATCTTCAACATGGACCGAGGACCGAGTGTAGTACGGATGATGTCTGCCACAGCCTGCAGAGCAATTGATCACGGTTTTACCAAGTGACAGGAAAATTCATTTCTGTTCTCAAAATTAACAATTTTTACAGCTAGCCAGACAGCCAGCTAGGTCTTAAAATTTTAATCTAAAACAGAAAATAATGCAAAAGCAATGGTTGGGTCGCAACAATCACAAAAACAGCTTAAGTTGCTACATATGCCTACATCTAAAACACCTACTATGTGCTGTCCAAAGAAGGGTATAACAAAAATAATCTGACATCTTGTTTAGCACCGGTTACCCCTAATTGACTGTGTGATAATTATCACCTACAGTACAATAAAAAAAACAACTTCACCACATCTAGACAGTATATAAAAAGCTTATAAGAGTCTGTCCTCACCTTGGCGGCCTGGATGTTGGCATGGTGAACCTTCGTGCCGGACTCCCGCTTCAGCGAGTCCTCTGCTCAAATCAAAACAAAAAAAAACAAAACAAAATCAGAGAGAAGTTCCCGCATAAACGGAAGCGACAGGGATCAGATCAGAATGACAAAAACCTAACAAAACCATAACACCAAAACCAAATCTCGGGTTCACACCAAGAGATCAGGTAAACCCCCCACCACACGAGGGGAGGGGGGTGTCAAACAGACACCACCAAATCGAAAACCTAGAAGGCACGAAACAACCACCGTTTCCTATGGAAAAGATCCGAGGCGGGAAACGCGGGAGGGGCCATAACCCTAGCCACGGGGAGGGAGGGAGAGCAGGGGAAGGGGAGGGGGGCGCGCTTACTCAGCACGAGGACGGGGGCGTTCAATGCCATGGCGCGATCCCGCGGGAGGCGAGGCGGCGGCGGCGGCGGAGTGGGGGCGAGAGGCGGCAAGGGAGAGGAAGGGGGTGAGGCGCCGCGGGGGATCGAGCTCGACGAGGGTTTGTTTGTTTGGTTTTGTGGGGGGTGGGGGGGGGGGGGGGTTTGAAGTGAAACTGAAACCCTCGAGAGGGTTCCGCTCCGCGGCTGCTCACTTGCTGCTTCGTAGGGTGGGTGCCCTACAGTACTCTGCCACTGCCAGTGGGCCGCGCTGGTCTTCTTAAAAAAAAAATAAAGGACTTTAGTACTCCAAAGGCTGTTTGGCATTGCAATCCATATCATAAATCGAAACTGGATTTGAAGCTTGTTTATTAAATTATATTATTTTATTTAAATTTTTGTATTTTATTTAAAATGGGAATAAAATGATTTATCCAAATGTTATTAATGTAATTGCATATCCAAGATCTATGGATTTGTGCGGCTAAGAATACTCAGCTAAAAAAAATTGAATTCAGAATTGTGTAAAATATGGCTTAAATAAAGTGTGGGCTTATGCTACTTCAAAATCCTATTGACGAAATTATATTTTCTTTTTATAACATTTTAGTTGGAGCAAGCTACAAACAAAAATGTTCCGGTCACATGGCAATGTTCTAAAGCCATCCTTTCAATTGTTTAGAGACGTTTGTAGACGACTTAGTGGCAACCCTTAGGAGGTCTGGCAACATCCGATCTCTCATAGCAGTGGCCGATTCTATGCCAAATCTTTGGTGTGTGATTGGAGCGTCGGTGTGTGGTGGTTTGTTTTTTTCCCTAATTATAGTCTTTCATGACTATAATTTTGTATATTTTTTCTGCTATATTATTATAATCATTACAGCTATTCACTAAAAGAGAAAAAACCCCATTAAACATCTTCCGGAGGTACTCCCTCCGTCCTCTAATATAAAGGATTTTGATATTTTCCTTGCACTGTTTGACTACTCGTTTTATTCAAAAAAAATTTATGTAAATATAAAAAATGAAAAGTTGCACTTAAAATACTTTAGATAATAAAGTAAGTCACAAATAAAATAAATAATAATTTCAAACTTTTTTTAATAAGACGAATGGTCAAACGGTATAAGCAAAATGTCAAAATCCTTTATATTAAGGAACGGAGGGAGTACTTATAAAGATATGATTGTGTGTGTATTTATAAAGTAAGTGCGTGTATTGTAGACGACTGCACCATGTTTCTTTTTTTAAAAAAGAATCCTCTGGAAATGTAACATCCTGAAAATTCCCGACAATAAAAATCACTAAAATTTCAAACTTTTTAAAATAAATTGCATCATGTCGATTTTATTCGTCTATTTCATTGGATGTTGCTTTCAGAAGTTCATAGATCGCGAATAAAGAGTAATTAATTAGGAATAAACCCTAAAACTAAATTGGCAAGATAAATAATTAAAATATGATTTAAAATAAAGATTAGGTGAGGTTGGAAATAAATAAAATATTATCGCGACCATATTGGTAACAATTAAATTAAGCGCGATGGAATAAGAATTAGCCCTCGTTAAAATTCAAATAAATTATATAAAAATAAAATATGGGTAATATTAATCCCGGTGAACCCTCTGATTAGAATAACACAAATATTTGGGAAACCTCATTTGTGTGAAAATTAGAATTTATGAGACAAGATTTGAATAGGAAAAACAACCAAATTGGAAAAATAGAAAAAAGTCACTATTCATTGCCGCTAGGTGTTCGAGTGCGTTCCCTAGACCTGCCCCCTCCCCTGCCGCACGCGCCTCGCGCCCCGAGCCGCCGCGCGCTGTCGCCATCGCCGCCTGCCGCCGCGCGCCGTCGCCATCGCGCTGCCGCGCCGCGCCGCCGTCCCGTCGCGCTGCCGCGCCGCGCCTCCCGCCGTCGCGTCGTCGCTCCGAGCCCCGCGCCGCCGCGTCGCCGCGCGTCACCGTCGCCTGCGCCCTGCCGCGCGTCTGCTCATCGCCGTCGCGTCGCGCCGCCCGTCCCATCGCTCCGAGCCTCGTGCCGCCGCACGCGTCGCGTCGCCGCTGCCGCCTGCCGCGCCGCGCGCCGCTCGCCCGTCGCCGTCGCCGCCTCGAGCCCCACGCGCCGCGCCGTTGCATCGCCATTAGGGCCGGCCACCCCTTCCCCGCGCCCTATAAACCCCCCTCCCCCAGCCATCCCCCTTTTCACCCCACACCATCCCCACCCATTTCCCTCTTCCTCCCCTCCTTTCTCTCCACCGCGCCGCCGCCTTCGTGCCATCGCGCCGCCGCCCTCGGTGCCGCCGCGCCGCGCAGTATGCCGCGCTATGCGTCGCCTCGCCTTGCGCCGCCGTCGGTAAGCCGCCGCCCCTTCCCTTCGTTGCCGGTAGCCGCGCCGCACCGCTCGGCCATGAGAGAGAGAGGAGAAAACAGAGAAAGAGAGAGAGAAAAGAGAATAGAGAAGAGAGGATAGAGTGGGCCCCACCTGTCATTAGCTCTATCTAGTTTTCCTTTAGAAAAATAATTCTGTAGAATAAGTAAATACAATCCTAAACCCCACATGTCAGTCACTTGGAGTTTTGGATAAAGTTTAGGAATAAAAATAATGAATTATGAACAATAGCTTTTTCGCAATTTCTCGGATTAATTCAAAGTTGAATCTTTACATTGGCATAACTTATTCATTTTAGCTCCGATTCGAGTGAAACTTGAACCTAAATTCATAAGCTCTCCAATGGTATATAATTCACTATTTAATGAAATATATTTATAATTATAAATTAATTAATATCAAGATGATGTATAATAGTGCTAATAAATAAAATTGATATTGTCCTGTAAAGTAGATGTCAAATCATTGTCTTTAACATACTTTATCACGGTAAAACCCATGTAAACTAATTAGAAGCATTGTTTCAAATTAATTAAAGCATAGGAAATGCTAGTGCCATTTATTAATATATGTCCATATATAATTTTACCCATAACGTCCAAACTAAATAATGTTTAGCCTCATATTTTGTGACTAAAATATGAACACACGTTGATGAGTCTTTAACTTGTTTCTGAGAAATAATAGCAGAACTTGTATGATTAAATCACCAATATGAAATTAATTAACGACATTTCCTATACAGTAGTATATGTTTAGGTTGGAAATCGACCCTTAAGTTGTATAGACAGTAACTCACTCATAAATCCACTTAAAATCACGTGTACTATATAGCTTAAAGAAAATAGCAGCTATTCAAATAAATGATTCAATATTAAGATATTGTGCACTCATATACACTGTACAGTCCATTATAGCTATACGTTGTAGTATTAAATCGCTTGATTGCATATAATAAAATTAAAGAGGACATATGACAAACACGTATGGTGGATAAATACTAATTATAGACCTTGACCTTATATAACCCAAGTCCAATCGTAGATTAGGATTATTCATTGTAAAATTATGAGATGGGATAATCTGTAACTATAATATGATTAACCTAAACAACTCTAACAAACAAAGCATGGATAATTATTAACCTTTTCTAATTTATTGTGACAAGTAAAATATTTTCATAATTAAAGCAAAGCCTCCATCAATAAAATAATAATACAAATGGTTCCCTGCGATTAATTGCTTGATCCCAAATCCATCTAACAACAGAACCTCTGGTATGTAACCGTGCTATTTAGATAGATGCATATATAGCCATAATCCTTCCATAGCCATTTGATAGAATAAACCGCCGATTAGCCAAATATATATGTATCCTATAAATGCTATGTTGGTTAACTCCTAAATCGACCACGATGACAATAGAAAGATTAAGAAGCCTTAGCCTCTAGCATGATTGGAATCCATTAGCAAGCGCGAGTAATATGAGCAACCCTAGGTTCGACCCCAACAATTACATTCTGTTTGTGCATATTTGGTTGTTGTCTGAATATTGGTTTTTCTCGCGTATTATAAAATCTGTGTACCGATTAGTCGTGAGGCAACGTCTGCAACTTCCAGGAGGTGAAGGTTGATCAAGATTATATCAAGAATAAGGACTATTCTGAGCAGGCAAATCATCACTATTCCTTGGACATGTTGATCCCAATTGCGAAATTGTTTTGTTTACAAATAAAATTGCATGCAATGATGAACATCCTACTTGTGATTATGCCATGCCTTGATTATTGTTTGCCCCTTATTCCTTCGTAACCATGTTTACGTATGAGTCCCTAAGTCAATTATGACAATTGCTTAGAAATGCTATTCTAGAATCATGCATACTCATATTTATCAAATGCTATATGCTTGGGCAATTACCTTTGGGAAGGTAATTGAGATGCGGCATGTGGAGACATGAGCGCCACATTGACATGATGTTGATGACATGATTTGTGAAAGGAGAAATAAAATTAAACAATTGTTTTCGACTGGGGCGGACGAAGGATTTGGGTGGTATCTGGAAAAGGCTAGTACCGTCCCCGGTCAATTAAGGACCGAGCCATGAAGTTAAGCATGAAATGACCCCCGTACAACCGTACTTCTCGTATGGGTATAGACCTAGCGGATTAGATAGCCGAGCGGAGGCAGTATCCCTGCATAGATGGTTCACCCCTGAGTGAGGCAGGTGCGCTACCGTGGGACAGCCGTTGAGGTAGGGCTGAGAGGCGTGCCCTACATCGGTGTCACCATTGATAGGACTGCCATGAGTGTGTGAGAGAGAAACTAACTTAATGAGTGTGTGAGACTTCCTTTCCCGGGAGCGCCAAAACTCCTCTCACTGCTAGAAACATGGACGCCTAGAGTGCATGAGGAATTAAGTTCATGGAGCGGGTACTGCCAATGCGAGGTTATCGAAAAGCTTTGCCGTGACGCGTCTCATGTGTTGGGACGAGGCTCATGTGTTCGGCAGTCGCGGAGTGCGGGTAAAGTGTACATCCACTATAGTGTAAGTAAACCAAATCTATTCGAATAGCCGTGATTGCGGTTATTGAGCACTAGGACGTGTATTACACTTGGCTAGACTCTAAATTCTTAACTTGTGTGGGATGGGTTATTGCATGATGATTTTATGCTGATGGAGCCACTTCCTGAGAGGCGGGAAGGTGGGCGTCCTCAGAAAACCATGACGACTCAATGGCGGGAAGCTATCCTTGGTATCACAATGGATGGTGGACATAACCGTCGTTGTTTAATGTAAACACTAGTATTAAAACTTGATCAGTCTATGCTAGGTCTCAGGCTTGTGAAAAGATTTGCAAAGCTTGCTTTACGCAAAAGAACCTAGAGCCCTTCCTTGAAATACCATCTATCATATGCATTGTTGCTGTGGTGGCTTGCTGAGTACGGTTGGTACTCACCCTTGCTATTTATATATCTTTTAGGAGAGTGTTGAAGAGAAGCCCTTGTCGGTACGCTTGCGTATCCAACAAGATGATCGGAGTGCGGTCTTGTTCTAGGTCTCGTTCCCCAGTCGACTGCCTGTGGCATGTTAACCGAGCCCTTATATTATTTTGTCTTCCGCTGTTGTTCTCTGATAGTTGTTGCCTTATCTGGCCCTAATGTAAGTATTTAACTCTTTTAGCCTGAATTCATTCGTGATATGTTGTGATCCAACTATGTATGTGTGTTCCAACTACTGATCGAGGGATTGGTACAGATAAACACAGAAGATTTCCGATTTCCAAAATCGAGGGTCTACAGGAAACTACTGGTAGAAAGCACAAGCAGCATCAGCAAAGCCACGCGAATTGCCGCAATCGTGGCCCCCTCTCTCCACTGGAAAGCCTAAGGGGCTGTTTGGATGGTTGCCTCAACCTACCAAGCCACATATTAGGCATGCCACACCTGCTTAGCCTACCGTTTGTTTAGAGACCAGATTTTTGGCTGCCACAAAAAGTCTGCCACAACTCAGTTGCTTTGCCATTGGTTTTTTAGCCAAAGACGCGGCGAGCAAATCGTTCGCCACGCTTGCGGCACGACTGTTGCGTGCGGAGAGAGCGCGCGCTACGCTCACCTTCTTGAATAGCACGAAACATCTGACGTTTTGGCGTGAACAATCTGGAAAAAAACACGCGAAGCTCGGTATCTCTGAGGCTACCATGTTTATTATCCTCTGTTGTGCCCCTTTTCTCTCTCCAATTCATTCTCCCGTGCAGCTCCAAGCAACAGGCAACTATTCCCCTCTTTCTTCCGTTAGCTTTTTTCATCTTCTGCTCCATCCCTTTCAGATCCTCTTCTTTTTCTTCAAATCACACAAGTAATCTGCTTCACTGATGAGTGCTCAAGCCATGGGGCAATCTGTTTTTTTTCCTAAATCATCTCCATCCTCTTCATCTTATTTAGATCCATATGTTCCTTCATTTTCTTCAAATCCTTAATTTGTTCCTTTCATTAGGGCTTGAGTCATGGAGTAGGCTGGTGAAGAGGAGTAACTACTGTGGCTAGAGCAAAGATCTGGCCGTGATTCCTCGCCAGCGTCCGCCATCGAAGCCAACGAGCCAGGAAGTTTCATCACGGTAAGCACACTGCACACAGCCCTATTTGTTTTTTTAGGGATTGGGTGTTTGGATACTTGAACTTTATTTTGACTTCTGAAAAAAAAAAGATAGACATTTTCTGTTTTGTCCTAGATGCTTATACTCAATGGTTGCAAAATCATGTTAGCTGGTATATGTATTCTTTTTTGCTAGATGTGTTATGCAAGTAGTCCCATTATGTCCCTGAAAAAAAAGTATTCCCATTATGAGATTGAAATATTTACTGCAAATTGTCATAAGGAAAATATGTCGGTTATTCTATCTAATTATTGTGCATCAGTAATGTTTTGTTCTGAATATTTATTAATTACACACTTTTAATTACTTAGATGGACCAAAGGAAGCAAATGTATTTACAATACTACTTCAACTACTACTACCAGTACTATATATGGAGGGGAAGGTTGCTTTCTGCTATTGGCCTATGCATAGCTAGTTACTCTTATTTGCTTAACGTGAGAAAAAGGCTACGAGAAGGTGTGACATATTCTCCCATGGCTCTTAGAGATGTCGAGCGAGATGCACGGTTAAAACGTTTGTTTAATGGTACTGAGGCCAATTGTGTTTCTGAGCTACGCATGCAAAAGGCCATTTTTCATAAGCTTTGTGGCCATTTCATATCGCGTGGGCTTTTAGTAGACACCCTGCATGTAACAATAGAAGAACAGATTGCAATGTTCATGCATATAGTGGGACATAAATGGTCCAATAGATCAGTTGGTTTTGAGTTTTACCGATCAGGTGAGACGGTCAGTAGGTACTTCAATGCTGTTCTGGATTCACTTGTTTCAATTTCTAAAGAACTGATATACATCAGAAGCACTGAAACCCATCCAAAGATCACAAGTAGCCCAGGAAGATTTCACCCATATTTTGAGGTACACAACACAAAGTTATTTTCACTAGAATGCTTACCGTTTAATCGATTTGCATGCTAGACTAATGGGACATTCGTTTTTCTTTTCTTAGGGATGCATAGGAGCCTTGGATGGTACTCATGTACCAGCAACTGTCCCTGCACATATGCAGGACAGATTTAGGGGTAGAAAGACTATTCCCACTCAAAATGTCCTTGCGGCTGTTGATTTCGACTTGCGATTCACTTATATCCTTGCTGGATGGGAGGGATCAGCCCATGATTCACATGTGCTCCAAGATGCTCTAAGCCGTCCAAGTGGCCTAAAAATACCGGAAGGTAGGAATTTAATTAGATCATGTGAGTACATCGACCATAACTTTAATTTGCCACTAACTATAAAACACATGTTTGTGTTATAGGAAAATTTTTTTTAGCTGATGCTGGATATGCAGCAAGACCCGGTATTCTACCCCCATACCGCGGTGTTCGTTATCATCTTAAAGAATACAAAGGTGCTAGAGAACCTGAAGATTATAAAGAACTTTACAACCATCGTCATTCATCCTGTAGGACAACAGTTGAACGAGCATTTGGTACCTTGAAAAATAGATTTAATATCCTCAAGAGTCAACCAAATCTCCCTTTGAAAACACAAGTGAAGACTGTGATTGCTTGTTGTGCACTTCACAATTGGATACTAGAAAATGGAGATGATGAATATGTCTATGACGATGATTCCTAGTATAGGGTCTTGCCAAGAAGCAATAGGGTATATCGTGACATACGGGAAGAGAATGCGGCTTGGGTGCTCAAACGAGATCAGATAGCACAAGCTATGTGGCAAGATAAAGTTGGTCAATCAATGTCAGCAACTAATCAAGATATAGAAAATGAGAACATTGATGCTAGCATGTAGTTGTGGTTATATTATTATCTTTGTAAAGTATTATTTAGTATGTGTGTTTCCCTGATGCTTGGCATGTAAGAAGTTTCAGTCCAGTACTCTATGTCATTTTTTGGAATTGATGTAGGAAATATCTATTAATATAACTATAACTGTTGTCTATCCATGCTATATATTCTATCTTACTAATTATATCACTTTATTACCAATTTATCATAGCTCAGGAAAAAAAATGGGGAAGGGGAAGGGGAAGGGGAAGGTGGAGGGTGAAGGTTCTACCCGTGAGAGATCCATCAGCTGGGATGATGACCAAACTAAGTTCATGCTTGATTGGTACATTGAGTACAAGAAAGAACAACATGCAGGCTTCATATGGAAAACTCAGCACCATCTGAAATGTGCTGATGTCTTAAATAGAGAGTTTGCTATGGGTGTAACATCTACCCAAGTAACCTGTCACTACAGGCACTACAAAGAGAACTGACAGATAGTTGAGAGGGCTTTAAACAATAGTGGCAATGGTTTTGATGCTAGTAAATGCAAATTGGCTATATCAGAGTTTGAAAAAGCTAAGCTCAGAGTAAGTATCCTTCATCTGAAGTCATCTCATTATTGCCACTGGTTCTGTAAGATTTGTTGTTAGCAAGTTTTGATTGCTCCTGGAGAAATGGATAGTTTTGACTAGTCATGAATCTGTACTAATATGTAGTAAAAACTCTACAAATTTATCACACATTGCAATGCTTTTGTACCTATATAAGTTAGCAATCACATTACATCATAATTCTTATTTCAAATTTAAATTTAGCTATGTTTGGAGTTATATTTGCTCCATTTTTTTACTAAATTATATTGTTGTACCAACATGCAGGATAGGGATAGGCGTTTGCTTGCTAAGCCAATCAAGTACTTTCATGAGATGAAGAGCTTTTCTCAGGCAGTAATACGAATGGCTCTCTTGCCATAGACTAGCAAACATGCTGCGACATTGATAACAAATCTGGTAGTAGTGACCATGAAGGATTGAATGATGTGTCTACCTATGCACATCCTATTGACATTGTTGAAGAAGACTCTGACACATTACCATCGCCTACTGGTCCTGATAATTGCTCTCCTGGAACATCTGGAGTTAGTAAAAAGAGACCAAAAGGTGTAAAGTCCCCGAGTAAAAGGCAGCCAAAACCTAAGAGTCGTTTCACAGATGCCACCGAGAAAATTGGCAATACAATGGACCGTTTGGTGAACCAGCTTGCCAGTCCTCCTCCACCCCCAATGCCACAACTTGACCCTTATGCTACAATGTGGAAGAGGATAGATGCATTACCCATTGGTTCTAAAGATAAGGTTGCTGTTGGAAATTATTTGGGACGCCAGGAGAATGAGGGGGTGCGAGGATTTCTTGCTGCTTCTTGTGACACAACTTTGGAGACTTGGGTGTACCAGTTCATATGCGACCGAGATGGTGTGTAGGATAAATGGATCTAGCTGCCAGCATTCGAGTATGTTGCTGACCTTTTGCTAAGTTGCAATAGATGTACTAATCAATTATATTGAAACCTTATGAAATATCTTAGCTCCAAACAAGTAGTTACTTTTGGGAAAGGATTAGACTAGATATGGGCAAACTAATTAGCTTATAATGAAATGATGTGAATATGTCATGTTCAAGCTGGTAGCTACTTTTGGTTATTAGAACAATTATCACTATACAACAATGATGCAAAAGGATGGACCTTATGCTGTGTGTTATGAAAATTTCTTCAGTGACTGAGTATTGCTCTTCACCCATGATATTTTAATTTATGTGGTTTGCTATGTACATTTGTGTAGTGTCTGAGTACTGTTATCCACCTGTAATATTTTGATTTTTTTTCATTATGCTTTTGGTTTTATTGGTCAAGGGAATATCTATTATTAAAAAATGAGTGTGTTTTACTAGAATATATCTATATCATAATCTGGTTTTTAAAATTAATAGTTTTAATTTAAAAGACACCTGATGAATAGAACATGCAACAATAATATTTTTACACACACATCTTGGGGTGGTATTCTCACCATCTAATTGATTGGAGGTAACCATATTCAATTTTGACACCAAACAAACAGCTACCACATATTTTTGCTAAACTTGTGGTATGTTATGCGGTAGTCATCCAAACAATACACTTAACAAATTTGCCACACTTGTGTTTATCAACCAAACACCTCTATTTTGTCACAAAGTTAGACATGCCATAATATCGGCAAACGCCTCACCTTAGACGTGGCAACCTTAGTCACTCAAACAAACAACCCCTAGAACCCGAAGCGAACACGAAGCTGCTTGTGCCAAAAACGCCTCAAAACGCGCCGCCGCCTTTGTTTCCATCCAAAAATCAAATCAAGTCGCCTCCCAACTTCACACTCGACACTTTCACTAATCACAGCTCACTTCAGCTCGCTCGCTCTCACTACTACTCGCTGGCACCATTCAGGCGGATCCAATGCCCGCCGCCTCCTCGCCTCTTCCCCTCCCCCTTCTCCTCCTCCTCCTCCTCGCCGTCGCCGGCGCCGGCGCCGCGGGTGCGGGGGCGGGGGTGGGGGTGAGCGGCGGGGGGCAGCTGTGGTGCGTGGCGAAGAACAACGCGGACGACGCGGCGCTGCAGGCGGCGGTGGACTGGGCGTGCGGCCCCGCGGGGGGTGCCGACTGCCGCGCCATCCAGCAGGGCGGCGCCTGCTACGACCCGCCCGACCTCCTCGCCCACGCCTCCTACGCCTTCAACGACTACTTCCTCCGCGCCGGCGGCGCCCCCGCCGCCCCCGCCGCCTGCGACTTCTCCGGCGCCGCCGCCCTCACCGCCCTCAACCCCAGTAAGCAAGCTCCCACCACCCCCTCTTCCTCAGTGATGCTTCGCTCAACTGATTTTCAAATTTTACCAACGAGTACTCCTTTTTTTTCTTTTTCTTTTTTTACAGGCCATGGCAGCTGCGTGTTTCCTTCCAGGTTAGCCTCCAAGCTCCCGTTTCCCTTTTTTGTCGGTGGAACATACACGCAATGATAAACTACATTTAGCTTAAACTTCTTGGTTCCTGCTGGATCTTATGTTGATCCTTACTGTTTGGGGAACTGTATTTCAGTACGCACTACCTTCGTCTTGGATTGGACACGGGTATTAAAATAGTTGGTAGAATCAAATGGGAGAATGTTGTTATGGGTTGAGAATAGGAGGTTGGTAGGGAATTTGAGTGGTGGAAGGTTGTGATTGCTTGAGAAGAGAATATAGGTGGAGAAGTTGTTATATTTCAGACAAATATGAATGCTAGAATTTATTATATTTTGGGATGGAGGGAGTAGTTCAATAGTACTGCCCAAGGCTGAGTTCCAGTTGCTAGCTTCCACCCAAAAAAAGGGGTAATTATAAAGGGGGTTTGCAGTTCTGATGGTCTGGGTGCATTGTATGATGTAGCCACTAGCCAATGTTTGGGAAGTACGGCTCATATCATTAATGGCAAACACCTTGAACTCACTGGTACAGAGTGAGCATTCAGATATCTGAAAAGTGGCTTCTTTAATACTACTGTTTCCAGAGTATTTGGTTTTGCGCAATGAAAAATAAGGGCCAGATTTGATTGTCTCTGCTAGAATTATGAACCACAATAAATAATCTGGCCTTGCTTTCATTACTTCGACTAAGAATATTTTCTCTGTTACAAAAACATCATTAGAAGAAGCCAATGCGATCTGAACACAGGCAATGAGGCGAACCAATGAATAAGTTGCTAGTACGACAGCCAACCAATATGAAAAATGATTGATAGTGCAATTAAGGAACACATTCATTAGATTCAAACATCAGAAAAAAAAAGAGCTCTCAAGCTCAAGGGGGAGTGAATTGCCCAAGTGCAAGATGATTAAATTCTCAACAGATCTTTTGGAGTGTCATTGACAGTTTAGTGCATAGTCATTGGACTGGGAAGATCGAAAATCGATCATGTATAGAATCAATAGAGCTATTATTGGTCCCTTTTGGGTGGTGCTACAAAACTTTGACCAATGGCAGTATGTGAATAGTGCAAGGGAAGAAGCAGAGGATCGGAACTAGAGAACAGGAATTTGAGGATGAAGCAGCAAGGGGGAGGAAGAGACCTGATGCCTAAGCATTCTGCAATCTGTTCATCCGTGTGTTTGTGCGTTGCTGCTGCTTCCATTTTAATGCCTCAACCTTGTTTGGCTGGGCCACAGCCCAGTGCTTGAAGCCCGGCCTATAGAACGTGACAGATCCAAGATGTGTAAGCATGTCCATACATGATAACAAACAAAACTGTACATCGTTACTAGAGTGTTATGCAACTTTACATCGTTACCAGAGTGCTATGAAATTATGCATTTGTTAAATTTGGTTAAGGTTTGTTGAAGTTTGTTACACCAATTTAATGCAACTGGGAATTCTGTCAAATGATTAGCAAATCAGAAGTATTGAAGTGATTAGCAAATAGGGAATTCTGTCTGCTCAAAAGTTCGTACTTCATATACACCAACTAAACAGGATAAATACTATTCTGTAGTCTATTCACAAATCATAGTCAGTAGCTTATGGCTGTAGTTGCATATAACTTTGATCTTTTTTTACTTTTACTTGTTTTTGCTAGTGGCACTTAAGTTTCATGGTGATAATCACTGTATCGCACCCTAACCAAATTATAGCTTGCTGGCATTCGGACGTAATTGCCAAATGGACTGGATAGGCGAGGATCCGCTTGCTATACAATGCCATATTTGGTTAGCATGGGGTTTTGTGAAGCAGTATTATCATAAAACCTACAGATAAGTACCATGAGGAAAGAAATGTGTGGTTCTGGAAATTACTCTTTCTAATCCGCCGCTGCTTTGCTCGCTTGTATTTCTTAGAGACCATAGTTACAGCAGTACTCTTTGTAATGTCACCACAGACAGAAAATTTCTCTTAGCACATACAATAAAATGCCTTCAACTTTTTGAATCTCTGCCAAATCATTAATCCTGTCTTCATACCATTGCAGCACATCTCCAAAAAATGGCAGCTTCACAGGAACAACAACTTATGGTCCAGCTGGTGCAGATTTAAGCAAAAGTTCTTCCAGGCAACTGAATTTCTGGTCATTGTTGTTATGCATATGTCTGTCTGTAACATTTTTCGATGCCTTCCCTTCTGATACATTTTCATAAACTCCTCTCTGCTAGTATATGATAAACTACTGGACTGCAGAAATGCAATTTGTTGTACTTGTGGTTGAAGCATCATTTCTTTGCAAGTCTGTGTAGAGAAAAGGAATACTCTTTTCAAGCTTCCCCTTTTCCCTCCTGTTATTTAATGAGCATTTAAAGGGGTCCTTGCCATCTCCGTTTTCGTTTTGTTTCAGTTTTGCTTTGGTAGTTTGTGTGTAACATTTCAGCTGTAAGAGCACCCGTAATGGTAAAGTAATGTGCTATCTATAAAACATGTACATCTCAGCAATAGACTAGATTAATAGTATACCACCTCAATAGTATATCTACACATGGGTATCTATAGCTCTCTAATCCATTGCCTCGTTTTTCTCTATAGACTATCTCCAGGTTAGTAGATAGCTTTGCTCTCTCTCTTCATTTAATCTCTTTTAAGTAGGAAAATATGCTGACATGAATCTCTTGTAGAGAACCTATAGATAACCATTGTGGGTGTCCTAAATATCACTACAGCATTTTGGCTATATCATGCATTCCCCTGTCGGAATTAATGCTACAATGCTCTGAATTTTGTATGTCTTAATACTGACACTGGAGAAGTTTATCTTATATACACTTATGAAGTTCTGGTAAAAGCTCATCTTGCAATGAAGTCTATTAACAATCTGAAGAAATTCATGAAACCCTGATGACTGTATCCACATTTCCAGTCAGGTACTACATTCACATCCATCAATTGATACACGGCATATGCACATTTTTTCTTGAAAAAAGTCCAATAGAATCCTAACTCCTAACTAATACATTTCTTGCAGACGTGGTGAATTCTATCTATGCTGGGGAAAGCTGGGCAAGCTGCCTGGCCGTCTCCTGCCCCTGCCCAGGATGATCAACCCTGCACCGGCAGAGGGGGCACGTCGGGTGGGAAGACAGCCACAGGTCGATGCAGTCGACGTGGTAGATGTGGGCGCACGCCGGCAGCAGCTTCACCATGGCGCCGACATGGATGACGCCGAGGCAGACGGCGCACTCCGTCCAGCTCGCGCCCTTGCCGCTGTGCCGGACCAGCCGGTCGTACATGAACGCCGGGAGGCCGGAGGCCACCGCGGTCAGCCGCCGGCGCTCCTCCTCCTCCTCTTCCGATCCTCCGGCAGGCGCCGCGTGGTGGTGGTGGCACCGCCGCGCGAGCCGCCGGTACAGCGAGAAGAGGCAGAATCCAGCGGCCGCCGACGCCGCGACGGAGCAGAAGAAGAGGAGGTTGTCGGGTGACATCTCGAGGCGCATGGTGGTGGTGATGATGATGATGATGATGCCGGGAGAGGATGAGCTCAAGAATTCAGGTAGGCATGGCGTTGGATGGCATTGGGTGAGAGTGAAGAAGCTGGAGGAGCCAAATTTATGTTTTGTCAGATTGCGTGCACGGCCTCCTTCTCGCGGTTTTATACATTTATCCAGCTGAAATGGAGTGTTCTGATGATTAGGTTGTTGGCTCGTCTGAATAATGGAGGGAGCCTCACCGAATGAATTATGAATGATTCTCTGGTGGTTGGCGAAGTGGCGACCATTGGGTCAGTAGTGTTTCGTAACGAATGCGAGATACTTGTCTGCATCAGACCGGGCACACGGTGGAGTATACTCCCTCCGGGTTGATAATACTTGTCGTTTTGGACAAGTGCACGGTTTTAAAAAAACAACTTTGACAACTATTTTATATTATAAAATATATAAAAATTTCAACAAATATATTATTTTATTGAAATACTTTTTAAGACTAATCTACACATGTGGTTTTCATATTTTTAAGGTAAATATTTTAGAAATTATTTGTAGTCAAAGATTTTAAAGTTTGACTTTACCCTTGTCTAAAACGACTAATATTATCAGCCCGAAGGGAGTATGATTATACCTTCTCTAATACAGAGGTCAAAGTTATAGTACTCCGTATGTTATATGTGTCGTTGACAAGGACTGGGCTGGTTGAAGGAAGATGCAAGGAGTAGTACAGAATTTGGCAAACGATCACATCAAAACATCTTGAAAGTGGTTGATGGACCCGTTAGACCTAATGGAAGTAATCGGTTTTTTCCCTAGTCAAACAAGCAAGCGCGCACAAGTCAGGTCCCCGATGATCGCTACGAGTTGACACAGGGCAAGAGCTGTCCGCCAAAACTAAGGACATCTCTCTCTCCCTTTTTATTTTAGTTTTTTGGATGAAACTAAGGACGTCTCCGTTGTACCAAATTGTCGGTAGTCTTAAACATCAGATAAGTTTTGAATACACCAAATTTATTAGTAGGATAGACTTTGCATTTGCTACTACCTCCATCCTCAAATACTTCATTTTCTAACTATAAATCTCTTGTTCAAGTATATAGCCCGGAAATGAAGTCTTTGTCCGTTCCCAAAATACTCCATTATCTAATTATGAATATCCATCCTACTTGTCTAGGCGTATAGTACAAAGCAAGGTTTTTGAGACACTGGTAGTACTAAAGGTACAACTAGCCTAAAGCAAACGAGGTATGCATGGTCATACAACTTTGCCGGATCGAGGCGGTTAAATTAGTGGCATATCCAATATTTTGTACCTTTTGAGGTCAAATACATGAACATGTTTTGCTATTGGCTCAATCATTACAAAACTTTCCATGTTTTTATCTTCTTCATTATTTCTTATATGCTTTCGACTATTTTTTTCTCACAATGATGCATTGCACTAGGATTTTCGAAAGTTATCATTTTGAACCTTGCTTTAACAAAATAGAATAGTTACATTTTGGATTAATATCATACTCAGAAGTGAGAAGAATGGGAATCATTTAGATCAAAATAGGAATTGGAATCTATTGGTTGATCTCGGCTAACAACCAAGCTAATAGCATGGGGACACCCTGCCACCCGCACACACACGTTAATAACCGTGGCATGGTCGGATGCGCTCTAATTTTTTTTTAGAAATGCTCACGTCCCACAATGTTATAAAATACTTCCTCCATTTCACAATGTAAGACTTTCTAGCATTGCTCACATTCATTTAGATGCTAATGAATCTAGACATGTATGAATGTGGGCATCTAAATGAATATGGGCAATGCTAGAAAGTTTTACATTGTGAAACGGAGGGAGTAGGGAGTAAGCTTCCCATGCTTAAAGCAGGGCTAGCCTTGGGGCAAGGCGAGCACTAATAAGGCATGCACTGATGATGCCATGCTAGATTAAGTAAAAAAAAAAAGAACTCTTGAACACTTAGCCTTGTATTGTTAGCTAGGAGAGGCCCAGGAGTCCACGAAGCCAAACCTGCTCGTGTTCTGCATCCACCACAAGTTATATTATGCGCCTCCTCTTCCGATTTCCATAACGAACTCTCCTCGTCTCCTACTTATTTGGCTGCTTCCAACGCTAGTCAGTTCGCTTCTAAAAATAAGCAGAACCTCAACTCCTCAAGATGGCCATTGTTTTATTAGTAGAACAATATATTATCCTCGTATATATATCCTACTTATTTTAGTCTATTATCCTCGTATCCTACTTATTTGGCTGCTTCCATCGCTAGTTAGTTCGTTTCTGCAAAAAGAGGAACCTCAACTCCTCAAGATGGCCATTGTTCTATTAGTGGAAAGGAGTCTATTATGAAGAATTTCAACTCAGCTTGCTTTCAGTACTGCCGATTTTGCAAGATTGAATAGACAACAGAAATACTCCCATAGTTAAATGATACTTCAACACATCAAGGTAAAGATAATCAAAACTAGTGAATAGTTAATTTCTTTGGGCTGATCTATTTCTATTATTGCTTTCTAGTACTTTTCTAGAGGTGCTTGATGTGAATCTTTTCATCTTCAGTACTTTAACAATAGACATTGAATTGTCATGATTAGTACATAGTTTGTGTTTCATTGTTAGTGTGTGGATTCAAATATAGGGCATATGCCTTTTATCTCGCCTTGGGCCTCTTAAAGTTCAGACCGGCCTTGGCTAAAAGGTAAGGATTTCTTTCACGTTTTTGCTCTCTCCTGATAAACACTAACAACACCGGTCTTGAGAGGTGCAGGACTAAACTCTTAGTCATGGTCCTAACCAGTGTAGGTGGTGCCCGGAGGATGCCAACACCACTAGTCGATCATCGGCAATGATTTTGTCATCAAGCCAGTGACCTTGCTTGTGAGTCCAGTACCGTTACACACACAGAAGAACGGGGCAAATGACTACAACCGTGTGGAACCAACAACTTCATTTTCCAATTCCAAGCAGTACACCAAATTCTGCATTAAGATTGAGAATTAGGTGATCATACTTTAGGCTAGGTATTATATCATAAGAATTAAGAATTAGGCCCTCTATAAAATCCTAATAATTTTCAGGAGTTGTAAACTTGTGATGGTAATCACACTAGACTTTGATCCGAGGAGGGTTGCAATCTAGAGTCTCAAATGTTATATGTAAGTCCAAGGGAATTCACTTGTTGGAAGTTGGAAATGAGACATCGAGCATTGTCGATTAAACCTTATTTCTGAACAAGGAAATGAAGAAGAAACAAATAAATGAATAATCTTTTTTGAACCATGCAAAACAATGCTACAAAAGTTACCATTACATAATCTATCAATTATTGCCAAACAATGCAAGTACTACTACTTTTGAGAAAATATCTGCCTACCCAGATAATCCTTCAAATTGTTATGTTCCTCTAACTGAGTATCACTATAGTTTGAGGTATCTGCACCGATCAGCTTGAAGTATTGATTCACTATTGCTGCTTCTGCCCTTTTTTCCATTGCCAATGCTCTTTTTTCCTGATGCTTTATAGTAAAGTTTTATCCTCTTACGTTTCAATTTTAGGTCTTATGAGGATGTCTGAGCAGCAATTTTCCCTTTTCCTTCCATTCTAGCCTTCGTAGCCATCCGCCCTTCTGGATGACATAGATGAAGTGGACTTGTATTCTCAATATCTTGATTGGAAGATGATGTGCAAGTGCCTAATTCGTTTTGCTTCAATTTCCTGTTCTTGTTCTTGTCACTCTAGATGTAAACTCTTGTTCTTGGTTGGTCTTTGACAAGTTTCCAGCAATACTCTAGTGTGAAGACTTGCCCTTATGTGCCTTATTTTGAAGTAATTTGATTGTAACTAGCACTGGCTTTCCCCATAAGTTGGTTATCAAACTGACCACTCCCATATGTGTTCTTCATTCTTATCCAGCACCCATTGAACAAGACAACCTTGTTGTTCATCCTTGTCCAATGAGTTCCATCTCTTCAATTAGTCCATGAATATAATTCATCTACAACCTTTTTCAATAATGTTTACCCTTATGTAAATTTCACCTATTGGGTCATTGGAGTGATTTAACCAAGCACTAACTAGTTGTATGTTGTCAGCCTCACTCCAATCCTATAATCTTTTTGATTGTTCATCATCTTTTTTCTCAGTCCATTCTTCATTGCAAATTTGCTCTGCATATATTGATTGTGCTGTAAAGACTGGAGAAGCTAAACCTGTACCTGAACCCATGGTCACTGGCTCAATCGATGAGTATGATCGACCATCCTGATCTCATCCAAACATTAGTTGTACCGCATACACTGGAGATGCTGAACCTCAGCCCATTGCCACCAACTCAATTGGTGAGTATGATTGACCAGCTTGACTCTTCCCTAAACATTCCAATTGGAGAATGGCTTAGATTGGTTTCATATGGAAAATGATGATGAAAAGCTCCATAAGGATGATAATTTTGCTGTGCTGAAGTTAGGTGAACACCATATGGAAGAAAATGTTGTGAAAGTGGAGTTTGGAGTGTGGGACTATTAAGAATAGGGAAAACAATTGAGAAATTGAGATGTTGGTCACTGAATTTCTATCTACTTGGTTATTAGGTGGAGAGTTTGAATAGTTCAAGGCAGGTTGAAAGAGCGATCCATGGGCAAATGTGTAACTAGAGTTTGTAAAATTTGAATGTTGTGTTTGTAATATATATGAACAAAATGGTGGCAAATGCCTCAGAAGGTACAAGATTAATACTTGTAGGTGGGCAATGGCTTCCTATTATTTTTCCCGTAAAAAAAAAAGGCTTCCTGCCATGCTTGTAATTTTTTTTCTTGATTTGAGTTGCCCATTCTAAAGAGAAAAGCCCGTTTCTATACTTGGTGCTTAAGAGTTTAAGATCCGTGTTTGCAGTGCGTAGAACCTCTGCTACAGTGAAAAGATTCTCAGTGTGTCTTCTAGTTCACACATTGCAGATGCTCTAAATGGCAAATAAAGACAAATCCCTCGTTTTTACATTTCTATGTAGCTTAATTTTTATTACGAGTAAAGTACACGGTCGGTCCTTAAAGTTGAAACGAGTTGTCACTTAAATAAGATGGCGGACCGGCCTAATGTTGATTTTTTAAGATTATGGACCTAAGTGACATCTCGCTCTAATTTTAAGGACTGGCCGTTTACTTTACTGTTTTGTTATCCACAAATGCATCATCAGATCTAAGGTCAGCAAAACTACTGAAGAAAGTTCAGACATTAATCGCATGCAGTTATCCGACAAATTCTCCTTTTAGTTCCGTTTGAAGAAGCTTCAATTAATTGCACGACCTGGCGGCGCGCCTGCCTACACCGGCGGTATCCGGCCGGCGTCCACCGGCGATGGGTCGCCGGTGTCGGAGCGGCAGAGCGGGCACGTGGTGTGCGCGTCCAGCCACGGGTCGATGCACTCGGCGTGGTACAGGTGGAGGCACGCCGGCAGCAGCCGCACCGTCTCCCCGAGCTGGAACGCGCCCAGGCACACCGAGCACGCCGCCGCCGCCGCCGCCGTCTCCTCCTCCTCGCCGTCGTCGCCGCCCACGTTGCGCCTCACCGACCGGCTGTACGTGAACGCCGGGACGAGGGCGGTGGGCCACGGCGGCGCGCTGGGGCTAGCGCTCGACCTGCCGAGCTGCCGCTCGCCGCCGCCGCCGTCGTCGCCACCATCTCCACCACTGCGCATCTGCGGTGGCGGTCGCGATTGAGCCGCGGCGGCGGCGGCGGCGGCTGCGGCTGATGCGCGGCTGCTGTTGCGGTGGCCCTGGCACAGGGCGCACATGATGGCGAGCGCGAGGAGTGCGGCCACGAGGCTGATGAGCACACCGGCGACGATCCCGCCGGAAGAAGAAGAACTGGAGATGTCATGGCCGCGGGACGGCGGCGTCGACGGTGGCGGCCGCCACGGAGGAGGCGGCGGCGGCGAGAATGGCCACCGTGGCGGAGGTGGGGCGAAAGGGTAGGGCAAGCCCGGAGGCCACATATCAGCCATGCATGCATGCGCTGTGTGCAAATGAATCTGCATGTTTTTATAACCTGCAAATATCATCATCGAGTTAATTAATTTGACAAGATTTAACGGTTATTCTACGAATCAACTGCAGGCTAAACTTAATTTCAGAAAGCTGGAATTAAGCCAAATCTGAGGTCAAGCGCTAGGGGTTTAATTGATTGCAGAGTAATCTGCCAAATGCGCGTTTTCGGTTTGTTTTTGCGTGATCATGGCCGGCGGCGGTACGACGACGTTGTCGTGCAATATAATGTGCTTATTATGTGATTGACTCACTCACCGTTCGTGTGAATGTGACGGGTTAGTTAAAAAACAGGATCGTTAAGTAGCATTGTATTTTGGAGTATTTGGTTGTCTATTTCATATGATGGCGAAAGGAAGAGATCGCTAGTGCACTAATGTGCCAAATGGGATGGTTTCATGGTCGTCGCACGATATTGGTGGTTGCAAATCAGCTCATCAGCTAGATGGAGCAAAATTTAAATTTGAAACTTAGTTTCGGAATTGATTTTTATATTCTTCTATCGTATTTTATTTTTAATTATTAGGTTTTAAGTCGCTAAGAAACCATATATCTCTACTACTTAAAAAAATAAGAGATGCTTCCATCATCCGTAAAAAAAACCAGGCGAAAAAAACCGAGGAAAAAACCGGGCGAAAAAAAGAGTCCGATAAAAAAAAGGAGAAAAAAAAGCGGGAGAAAAAAATGACCGATCCAAAAAACGGAGCGAAAAAAACCAAAAGACCGGGTGAAAAAAACGGAAAAAAAAGAGTGACAAAAAAAGGAGAAAAAAACCGGGAGAAAAAAAAATGTCCGATCCAACAAACCGGACCGAAAAAAAAATGTCCGATCGAAAAAATAGGGGGGCAAAAAAACAGAACGAAACGAATCGGTAAAAAAAAGGCGAAAAAAATTAAAAAAATTGTCCAATTTTAAATAAAAAGGAATTATATGTGATATGGTAAAAAAATCGACTGGGCGAAAAAAATAAAAAAAGTCCAATCAAAAAGGCGAAAAAAAACAAATATGTACGATGAAAAAAAAGGGAAAAAATCGAAACGAATCCGACTCCGTCGACTCGGTAAAAAAAGGGTGAAAAAAAAATTAAAAAGTCCGATTCCAAATAAAAAGAAATTATATGTGACGCGGTAAAGAAAATGGAATCCTATTTATATCTAGAAAGGTCCGACACTATAAGAAAGTGGCGAAAAAACCATTCGTAAAAAAAAATGCACTACAAAAAAAAGGTAGAAAAAAAGTCTAATTTCTATCGTTTTAGTAGTCCGTTTATATCTCTTCTTTATCTCTAATCTAATCTAATGTAACTATTTAAAAGAGAAGTTTCTACCGTATATTAAAAATAAATAAATGCCTGAGAAAATAAATACGGTTTAAAAAACGCGTGAATAAAAAATGTCAGAAAAAAGCACAAAAGAAAACGCGCTAGAAAAAAGTTCCGTAGTCCGTAAAAAAATACACGAGAAAAAAAATATTTCCATCGTCTATAGAAAAGCAAAAAAAGCATACGTGGAAAAAACTATTAGAAAGAAGCGCTAAATTGATGGACACTTGGTCGGATAGGATCCATCGACTTTTTTTCCATCTCATACACGACTTTTGTTTCGTCATCTATTCTCCTATATTGGAGACCCTGCACATCTTCGTAGGCAATTATCATATTATTTTTGTGAATTATAGCTACTATTCTTGATAACATATTATATAAAATAATCTTAGAAAATAAACATATTTTAATTGTTATATAGAGAAGAGTGGACAGTGACTCTATTTTGTGTAGACTTGATCATACGAGGCAATGTAGGATTTGATTGGTTGCAAGAATGAGATTAAAAGAATATTTTAAATTATATGCATGTTGTCATATGAATAATCCAATTATTTTAGGTAAAGCAAGCATCGTAAGGTTGCCATCATCGAGGTTGGGCTATTACATTTAAGATGTTCCAATTTTCTGATTGTCATCGACATGGTTATGCATGAAAGACGTATATTATTATTACGTTTTTTTCACCCGTTGTAACGCACGGGCATGTTTGCTAGTAAATATTATATTTATAAATTATTGTTTGGTAGCAAATAAGTGGTACTACTTATAATATGAACTTATGCTATATAATAATATCTGTAGCGTAGCTGGCAGAGGTATCATAAGATACACTGCTGGAGAATGCCTCATCAGTCCCGGTTTACAACCTCTTTTAGTCCCGGGTTACGTTGCAAACCGGGACCATAACTTAAAGATGGGTATCTTTAGTCCCGGGTGAAATAACCGGAACTAAAGTTCCATCTTTACTCCTGGTTGGTAACACTAACCGGGACTAAAGATGGCAGCACCACGTGCATATTGGTGGTTTTTTTCTTTTTTTTTCCATTTTTTTTGCTATTTCCATCGAATAAACATCACAAATTCACAGATCAAGATTTTTTTCACTGTTTTTCTCAAATTCACACACTCACAGATCGAATTTCACATACACAAATTCACAGATCGAACGTCACAGATCAAATTCACAAATTCATAGATCAAATAGACACTATAATAGATTCACAAAACATCTGAAAAAACATTCATCTAACCTGCCCCTCGCTGCCTGCCGCCTTCCCTCCCACCGGATCCGGTGGAGGGGAGGGCGCCGCCGCCGTGGGACACCCTGCCGCCACGGCCCGTGAGAGGGGAAGAGGAAGAGGGGAGGAGATGGCAGGGGGGCCGCTGCCGCTGCCAACGCCCGCCGCCCGCCGCCGCTGCCATCACCCATCACCCGTCGCCGCTGCCGTCACCCATCACCCGTCGCCGCTGCCAACGCCCGTCGCCCGTCGCTGCTGGGAGACACCGGCTGCCGCTGCCACAGCTCACGAGAAGGGAAGGGGAGGATGGGATCGAAGGAGAGGTAGGAGGGGATCGGAGGAGGGTGTGAGGAGGGGATCGGAGGATATAAGGGAGAGAGAGAGTCTGGGAGGCGTGCGCAGCGGATTCCGAGAAGGTAAGGGAGGATTCCACAGCGGCAGCGTTTTTTTTTAATTTTTGGTACCGGTTGGTTACACCAATCGGGACTAAAGATCTAAATAATCTTTAATCCCGGTTGGTGTTACCAACTGGAACTAAAGTGGTGATCTTTTGTCGGTCCTAAAGATCCCGGGCGCTCTGACAGGTCCCTGATCTTTAGTTCTGGTTGGTATAGTCTCTTTAGAGTTTTGAACCGGGACTAAAAATATTTTTTTAGTTCCGGTTACAATATGAACAGGTGCTAATGTGGTTTTTAGCCAACCCAACAAAGATGATTTTTCTAGTAGTGATATAACTCCTAAGGCCATTAAGAGGGCAGGCTACACAGACGGAATGGCCTTGTGAAAAAGATGTTTCCACGTTGGATATAACTACTCAAACAAACTCATCCTACAGCGCATGCATCCCTAGCAGTACTGACATGAAATTTTCTATTTCAGCCCTTACGTTATCTATTACAGTCCTCTGAAATCTGATAAATCCAGAATTTTGTAAAAGGGACCCCAACAACCACAAAATAATCACAAAGGGAGTAAAACAACCGTCACTCTCCACTCCCCAACCGTCACAAAGGGAGTATGACATCCTATTCTGCCCCGTTTTTTTTTCCATTTCTATATTTTTAGGATCTTGCGTTACAAAGAAGCTGTAGGATTACATTATATCCCTAAGCAATTTCTTATTCATGCCTCTTGAACAACATCACGTTTTACATTATTTTTTTTGAGGGAACATCACTTTTTACATTGGTCTCTACTCTCTGCTAACAGTGGGATCAATCTAAATCTTTCATCGTTCTTTTCCAGTGGATCATGTTTATTTATAGCACTAAGCTTAATTGCTCAGTATGTACATACACAAAGAACTACAGGAAGTTGGAACAGAGGATTTGATCTCACCAAGCTTCTATAGATTGATTGCATCGACAATATAGCAATAGGAAAGGGTCTTAAGCCCTTATGGCATACTTATATATTATGGAAGTTGTTCTTAATTATAGTAGTCCTTTGGATGAGCTACCATATGTATATATAAGGACTAACCATATTAGAGGTAGATAACGAGCCAGCTTGGCTCGTTAAGTCTCGGTTCATTTGAGTTTGTTACTTTAACGAGCCAGCTTGTCTTGGTTCGGCTCGTTAAGGTTAACGAGCTAAAAGCCTAGCCCTGCTCGCAAGCTAGCTTGTTAATCTCATTAGACTTGTTTAAGTATTTATATCATATTTATAATTTTTAATATACTATTTTATCATATATAAACTTATTAATAAACAGCTACTAATCGATTCATTAAACATAAATAGTTTGGATGAAATTAAAGGACTAATCACTAGTTAATTAAGAAGCACTAAGTATGTGAAGATAATGTTGATCTTTTGAACTAACGAGCTAAACGAGTAGCTTGTGAGCTGACTCGTTAAGCTCCTGAGCTAAATGCTTAGCTTGGCTCGATTTATTAAGACATCGAGTTCAAGTTGATTTGAGCTGAGCTCGCTACAGCCGATCCAAGCCACGAGATTTGAGCTTTTTGTCCACTACAACTAACCATAAGGAATACATTAAGGTTATGTCTCTCTCCCCTTTGCCCCCTCCCCCACCCTCCTCGCTTTCTTGTGTGTTTACTTACTGTTACTTATTTTATGTCCTAATAGTTCTCATGTCTAAAGTGCATCCAGCGCTCACCATTGTAGCAACAAAAATAACTGAAGACTATTATTATTGGGCCTACCCACAAGGACAATATCCATATACGTACATTACCCTTAGCGCCCTTAAATTCCATAGGAAACTAAGCAATGAGTTCAAACCTCGTTTTACTTTTCCTTTGAAAAGCCCAACCGGCAACCATCTTCTCTCTCTGTTTCCTCTTATCCCACTTGGAGGATTAACAAAATCCCCATGTTAAATGATCTCTGAAGAATATATGCATAAGGAGAGATTATGTGTCGCGAGTTTCTTACTAGTGATAACTTGCGACTTTGTGATAACAACGAACCTGACGTTGGAGGAAAGTTTTGAATTCAACGAATTATATCATGTTTGTTTATGGCTTTATTTGAGAATCAAGATAGCTTATACGGTCGAGTACGGTACTAGTTGACTTTAGCAAACCGCCAAACGTCGTAGGTATGGTGAGCAGAATGTCAACGAAGCTTGCTTCCGTAGGTTACATGGAAGTTAAAAGGGAGCTAATAATTAATCTTCACCGCCAAACGAAAAAAAAGATCTAATTAATTTTGTTGTTATTGGAGAAAAAAGAACTATAATTTCACGTATGTCAAATCTGTATGCCAATGGACTACATTTCAGATGATAAACAACGGTTAAACGAAATGGCTACCTGTTTCAAGCAGAAAAAACTGCATGACCCCATAGAACTAATTCATGCCATTTGCTCTTGGATCGATTCATGGCCCATTTTGTAGAAATCAGAGGACTCGCAAAGAAGACTGCAATCGGAGTGACGCTGCTAAGAAGTAGTAACAAGACTCTGTTAGAATCTACTGTCTTTCGTTAATGAAATGGGAGAGGGCTAGCTCCCTCTCTTTCTAAAAAGAAAATCTTGGAAATTCTGTAACATATTTTACTGGAATCTTTAATTTCTCAGTGTTCTTTAATTACAAAGCTGTACCAAAGTATACTTGCCAAGCTAGATTAAGGTTCAAATCAAGAAATGACATGCAAGTGGCCCCATCGTATATGAACTAATACTAACCATGATATATATATATATATATATATATATATATATGTGATGTGATGATGATGGAGATCTAGTTAGCTAGCACAGAACTAGCTACACCGGTGGCAGCGCCTCCGTCGGCGACGACTCATCTGCCGCCGGCGCAGGTCGGCCGTCGTCGTCCTCCGGCGGTGGCTCGACCTCCGTCCGGCAGATTGGGCACGTGGCGTGCGAGGCCAGCCACATGTCGATGCACTCCACGTGGTACAGGTGCTTGCACGCCGGCAGCCGCCGCACCGCCTCGCCGCCCTGCACCGCGCCGAGGCACACCGAGCACTCGCCGCCGCCGCCGTGCCTCGCCGACCCCGCGTACGCGAACTCCGGGATCTTGGCCGCCACGTCAGCGACGCCGCGCCCGTCGTCTTCTCGCCCACCGACGCTGCCGGCGCCCTCGGCGGCTACCACAGGCGCGCGCCTCCGGACGTGGCGGTTGCAGTAGAAGGCGACGACGGCGACGAGCGCGACGCCCGTGAGGCCGACGCAGGTGTAGCTGAAGATGGCCGTCCCTTTGCCCACGGACTGGTTCTCCTGCGGCACCGGCGGCATACTCGTCGTCGTCGAGCCGGAACGCGAACCCATGGCGACGGCGCGGTGGCGTTGGCGATGGCGATGGCGATGGCGGTGACTTGAGCTTTGTCCGTGGAGGAATGAGCCGCGGCATCGGGTGATCGGGGAGAGATAAGGACTGTGGTGTTGACTAAGTGGAGAACATTATTTTTTAACCAGCGTTGAGAACTGAGATTGCACAGGTGTGTTTGTAGTGTACCTCTTCTGCTGAATGCTGATCAGATTCAGAGAACAGAGTGATATCCTAATTTCGTTCTAAAATATTTGATTATTCGTCTTATTTAAAATATTATAAAATTATTATTTATTTTATTTGTGACTTACTTTATTATTAAAATTATTTTAAGTATGACTTATCTTTTTTAATATTTAAACTAACTTTTAAATAAGATAAATGGTTAAATGTTATAAGAAAAAGTCAAAACGATATTTAATTTGGGACAAAGGGAGTACTTAATTATCACGGACGAGAAGCGCTTAATAATTACCAGCGCGAAAATGACGTTATTAATAAACTTATTTTTGCAACTAATTAATAGTTCTCCGGTCAAAATCGAAATATCATATACTTATTTACTTTGACCCTATGAAATGGTTAATTACGAAGGAGAGGACTATAGTGCAATACACATATTACTACCAACCAGCAATATATATGTACCGCGATTGATTTATTGATGATTATTTGACTATTTATCTTATTATTTAAAAAACAATGTACCTATTATTTATTTTGTTATGACTTATACCGGTATTTGAACTATGACTTATATTTCTTATATTTATGCTAAATTTCGATGACTTATATTTTTATATTTACACTAAATTTTTAATTAAGACAACACATAAAAGGAAAAGTAAATATACTAGGAGTAAAATAAATAAGGGAATACAAATAAATAATTTTTCTTATATTCTCCGTGCCTTAAGACACTCTTTGAAATTTTCTTTCTATTTTAGGAGCTACAGAGATAATTCTAAAGACACAAAGATTATTTCAGCAATTATTTTAAATATAGAAGCAAATCCTTATATTTTCTTTCCCCTTCACCCTAGAGTGAGGAGGAAATTTGCTAAAATCAATCCATTGTCTACAGAATTAATTTTTATGGACGAGATCCTCTCTAGATTGCAGGTGGACCATAACAGCTTCCACCTACAAAACTCGATCTCCTGAGCATGGTTCAAGGACCGTATACGAAATCCAATTTCACAGGCGTATCTCTTAATATGTCCGCACATGAAAATAAATCTATTTTCACATGCAGACCTCTCAAGAAGCCTGCATACAAAAATACCCGCACCTTTTTCTCCCCTCCCTTCTCTCTCCCATTAAGTATCTCCAGTCCACTTCTTTTTTTTCCTCCTGCCCACCACTCCTTCCCTTCTCTCTCTCCCCATGGACTCCCCCTGCCTCCCACTCCTCCCATTCCCTCTCCTCTCGATGAGGCAGCAACGGGCTCAGGCAAGGGCGGTAGCGGGTGAGGGCAAGAGCGACGGTCTCGGGCATGAGGTATCCCGCCGGCAGCGGCAACTGGAGGGGCGGATCCAGTGCCCCCTCCCCTTCCCGCATGAATCCCGCCACCACTTCGCCTCCCACGCTCACAGTTCCACCAACAGCGGTGACTGGAGGGCCAGATTCGGTCTCCCCTCCCCTCCCGCACAGATCCCGCCGCCTCTCCGCCCCCCATGCGCGTGGATCTGCTAGCAGCGGTGGCAGGTGAGGCAAATGACGATGGCAGCGGTAGTGGCGACAGCTTCTGGATTCTAGGGTTAGGGTTTCGATTTTTGGATTTTTTTTGCGACTTTTCATACGGTCGGACGGCTTAAGCGCCCACGTGTGAAAATAGGATTTTTCACGTGTGGTTGCTCTATCCACATGCAAAAATCTGATTTTCGTAGACACCTGAGTGTATGTGAGCCACTCAACCGTATGCGAATATCGATTTTGACCACATGGAAAAAATGGTTTTGTAGTAGTGGTAGACACACGGAGGCCGGTCAGGTTTAATTTCGTCTTCTTTTAACAACATATGTCGTATTATCTAAAAGAAAACCATCAATAATAGATGTGTACGTAGACTTCATGCAAGGTTTGTACAATAGATTCATGATATCACGAACCATAGCTCGAAGTCGTTGAAAACATTTTACATTTTGAGTAAATGATGTAAAACCATACTCGATTTTTTACAAAACCATAGTATATACTAGCACTAGTTATATTGGTGGCTTCACATTTTAAAAAAAGTCAAATTGTTTTTATAATGTGAATTACTAATAGAGACTCGCACAAGTACTTAGAAGAACGGAACAATGAATATGAGCTTACCAAGTTCCTGTAATCTAGCTTATTAAGTCACGTCTTCACGCAACTATAACCTATCTCGCTGTTAAATATGTTTACATGTATATTTATGGATTTATCTTGATTTATCCTTGTGTGAATAAGTGTTTGTAGTGCATTAACAGGATTAATAGTATTCCTGCTAAAAGGGACTAACATTATTATCATAATATCAAATATTTACCTTAGGTACATACAAAATTATACTTGAACAACATAGGCTTGTAATCTGAAATGCCCAACACATATTTTGACTGAATAAAAATGATAAATGCAAAAATCAAGGTTAGGGTTTTTATTCGTATTATATGCTGGCATTTCTCCTTCCTATCTTTGGAACTATAACCGTCATTCTCTTCGATGCTGCTTGAGCTGTGTCCTTCTCACCATCTCCATTGCTACATGACCCCTTATCCTCCTTTATATCTCTGCTTGTGGCACATATATTTTTGTTTGACATGCTTAATAGGTGTTCAAAGAGGAATTTTAGTTATAAATAAATAGATATATCTTGTAGTGAATAAATCTTACCGTGAATCAAAATTAGAGAATTTTGCTCATTGTCTCACGAAATTTCCTAAATTATGTGCCCACCTGCCATGAAATGGAATGATCTAGTTTAAGACAATTACATAGCTGCTTGCCATGCTCTAGTATTCATTGTAGGTTTTTAGAAAAGGGTGCCAAACAAAATCACAGATGTAAAGTGCTATCCACAATGGTGTAAATTCGAAATTTATAAGGTCCTTGCTGATGTAAAAATTAAAGGTGAGTAATAATATGGGGGTATTTGCTCAAATACTTTTAATTTTCAGTGGAGCATATGATAAAATATACTAAGAAGGATGAAAATGAAAAAAAGTTCCAAGAGTAAGATGTCACGAGTAGGTGGCATTGGGACTTGGGAGCTGTGAGCTGCACAGGCCTCTTTCTCTTCCTCTCTCCCATTTTCTCTGGTTGTTATTAAGGAGGTTTCTCTAGTTCTCTCTGAATCCCTCTCTCTCTAGTTCTCTAGCTGCTGGTCTCCAATGGACGAGCTAGGCCCGACGCAAGGTGGAGGCAGAAGACAAGGAAGAGTTCACTCATCTTTCCCCTCATTGTTCGCTCGCACTCCCTCTACGCCACAACGCTTCCTCTCCTGTTAATTGCTGTAGGTGAGCCAACAACATTGATGATGCAACGGCGAAGGTGCGGGTGACTGCTTGAGCATCGGCAGAGCAGCTAGTTGGCCGCGGCGACGATAAGCAGCAGTGGAAACCGGTCCTCTTTTCTCTTTTTTTTTTTGTTTTTACTAAACTTTTCTAGATTCTTCTTTGCCCCAAGATTTTTTCTTACCATTTATCTTATACTATGGCTATGATACTTTCTCCTTATATTATCGTAGTTTGAATCAAACGGTCATTATTTTGTTGTTTGCATGGCTCATCCTCGTTTCATATTGAGATTCACCCGTTCATTTGTTAAGATAGGGTCCCTATGCCGTTATTCCATAGAAAACCAAGCAATGAGCTCAAACATTACTTTAATTTATTTCCCTTTTAAAAGCCGAATACTTCTCCCTTTGGTTCTCTTCTCTCTCTTAGCTTGGAGCATTAATAAAATTCCTATGTTAACTGATCAATGTAGAAGATACATAGGAGAGATTATGTGTTGCGAGTTTTCTTTTTCTGTTCTCTCTCTTGTGACAGCAACGAACCAGACGTTGGAAGAAAGTTTTTAGTTCAACGAAATATCATGTTTGTTTATGGCTTTATGTGAGAATTAATCAAGGTAGCTTATACGGCTGAGTACGGCACTATTGTTTTTTTTCTTCTGAAGACTAGTACGGTACTAGTTGACTATAGAAAACTGCCAAACGTCGTAGGTATGGTGATAATAGGGTCAACGAAGCTTGCTTTTGTCGGTTACATGGAAGTGAAAAGGGAGCTAAGGCCTATTTAGTTCGCGAAAAGAAAATTTTTGGGTGTCATATCGGATTTTTGACCAGATATCGGAAGGGGTTTTTGGGCACGAATGAAAAAACTAATTTCATAACTCGCCTGGAAATCGCGAGACGAATCTTTTGAGCCTAATTAATCCATCATTAGCACATGAATTACTGTAGTACTTATGACTAATTATGGACTAATTAGGCTCAAAAGATTCGTCTCGCGATTTTTCCCCCTAACTGTGCAATTAGTTTTTTTTTTAAATCTATTGCTCCATGCATGTGTCCAAAAATTCGATTTGATGTTTTTGGGAAAAAATTTTGGGAACTAAAACAAAAAAGGGGCTAATTTTGTTGCTATTGGAAAAAATAAATAAAATTAATCACACGCAGTTTCAAATCTGTATGGCAAAGGACCAATTTTTTAAGATAATAAATAACAACTAAACCCAAGAAATAAAAACAGAAACATGTTGCCCTGAAATTCTGTGATTTCAAAACCAAGAACGTATATATTTTACAGCAATCCTTCTGATCTTTAATTACAAAGCTGAACCAAAGTACATACATGCCAAACTAGATAAGGTTCAAATCAAGAAATGATATTCCCAAAACGTATCAATTAACTAATCATGATGTGATGTGATGTGATGACTATGGACGGACCTAGCTAGCTAGCTAGCTACAGTGCTACACCGGTGGCAGCGCCTCCGTCGGCGACGACTCATCTGCCGCCGGCGCAGGTCGGCCTCCGCCGTCCCCCGGCGGCGGCTCGACCTCCGTCCGGCAGAGCGGCCACGTGGTACAGGTGCTTGCACGCCGGCAGCCGCCGCACCATCTCGCCGCCCCGCACCGCGCCGAGGCACACCGAGCACTGCGCCGCCCCCTCGCCGCCGCTCGCCGACCCGGTGTACGCGAACTCCGGGATCTTGGCCGCCACGCCAGCGACGCCGCGCACGTCGTCGTCCTCTCGCCCGCCGGCGCCGGCGACGACGACATGCGCGCGCCTCCGGACGTGGCGGTTGCAGTAGAAGACGACGACGGCGACGAGCGCGACGCCCGTGACGAGGCCGGCGCAGGTGTAGCTGAAGATCGCCGGTCCTTTGACCACGGGCGGCCGGCTCTCATCCGGCGCCACTGGCGGCGTACTCGTCGTCGTCGACGAGCCGGAACGCGAACCCATGGTGGTGGCGGTGACGGTGGCCTAGCTTGAGCTGGCCCTTAATTATCAGGTGATCGGTGAGAGAGAAGGATTATGGTGTTGATGACTAATTTCCAGGGCGGAAGTGACGTTATTATTTATTAATAATAGACTTGTGTTGCAAGTAACTATAGTTCTCCGGTCAAAATACTATATTACTTTGACTCGATGAAATGAGAGTGTAATTGCCGAGAGGACTATAGCGCAATACACATAAATTATTATAAATCAACCTACAGACTCCAATTTCTCGGGGGCTGCGAGACACTATAAAAAACCCTCATAAGGACCGACCTTATAGGTGCCGGTTCATTTAAAACCGACACCTATGAGCCTTTTCACATCTCCACGCGATGAAAAATATATAGAACCGACAACTTTAAGCAATATTGGTGTCGGTTCTATAGAAAAACCGATACCAATAATATAGGTGCCGGTTTTTTAATAGAACCGACACCTATACTTATATTATAGGTGTCGGTTTTAAAGAAAAACCAGCACCTCTAGTATTGGTGCTGGTTTTTTTAATCTAGAACCGACACCTATAATATAAGTATAGGTGTCGGCTCTATTAAAAACCGGCACCTACTTAAAAAAACCAGACCACAGCTCCTTCTTATCCTCCACACTGCCCCCTTATCCTTTCCCATCAATCCTTATCCACAGCATCCGCCCCTCCTCTCCCTTTGCCTCCTCAATGGAGGAGCGGCGGCAGCCGACGGAGGAACAACGGTGGCAGGCCCGGGTGGTGGCGGCCGACGCGGAGGCCGGCGCTCGCGTGGCGAGGTAGCGTGTAACATCCCAGCCTAGAGCTTAATAGGATTAATAGAATACTCATATTAACAAGTTGCAACTTCTTTTCCGGAAGCCGATCTCTAAAGCCCGGGTACGATGCGGAGTGGTGGTGAAGGCTGGCACGAGCGATGTGGTGTCCGGCAGGTGGTGAGTTCTTGGAGTTCACCTCTGTTTTCTCCTCCTTCATGTCCAATTTGTTGAGTTCTTGATAGTTTGTACCATATATGTAGTAGTTTGATGTTGATTTTTTGGATGGAGATGAGGTGATCTCTGTTATTTTTTCGATGGGGATGATGTGATCTGGGATGGTGGTGGTGGTGAAGTGGCCGCACACGATGGCGGCGGTGGCGCAAGGCGAGACGCATGGCAGGCGGCGTGGTGGCGGAAGGCGAGGGGGAGACCGGCGACCTTTTTTTTCTTTTTTTTTGTTTTCCAGAAAACGTCATAGGTGCCGGTTATAAAACCGGCATCTATAATTTTGGGAATAGGTGCCGACCAATCGGTGCCGGTTGGGAAACTGGCACCTATAGCCCATTCCCAACCGGCACCTATGACGTTTTCTGTAGTAGTGAGAACTGCTTTCAACCAAATGATCTGGAAGTCATGGGCATCTTCTCCCAAGTGCAAATTCTTCTCCTGGCTCCTGGCTAGTTATCCAAAATAGTGTATGAACAGCGGGCATATTGGAAAAAGAAGAATGGCAAAACTAAAAGGTTTGCTAGTTATGTTGTACGGTTGATGAATCTACGGTTCATCTGCTGGCTAAATGCTAAATGTAGGGTTACAAAGAGAGTGTGGTCGAAGATTTAGAGATGGACTAGCAAGGACCTTCAGATAGCCAAGTGGAATGATTGTCACTCAGTCGAGCACCTCACAACCCTCGCCAACCCCTCAACCCTAGTGATCCTAGTTTCCCGAGAAATCTGGTGTGAGCGAATGCAAGAACTTTTCGCCACAAATGATGAGGACACAACTAGCTCGGATATAACCATGACTACCTTATGTATTCATTAACCAAAGGTATATATGTTCTATATTAGATTTACTTGTTATATATTTGAACAAACATTGCTACAAAATGAGTTTAATTTGTTTTCGTTTGCAGAGGTACTTGCTTGGGTGAAGGAAAAGAGACCGAGCGTTAGAAATGCATCGATGATTGACTGTTGGAAGATCGGGACCTAGTTTCCTCATCAACAAAGTAGCAATGCTGGCCTCGATACTAGCCAAGATCAAGGAAGAAGTAGCAGCATGGGTGAAAGAGAGCCGGTAGGCTCCGGGAGTTCGGAATTTTGGAAGATATTGCCTAGGGGCCTATTTTCAGCCTCGTCTCTTTTGACTGGCCTTGTACATATCTTTATTTGTCTTTTATATAATTTTCTCCTTCTCAACTAATATACAAGGAAAAGCTTTTGTTGTCCCTTAAAAAAAGCTATATACCGTGATATTTTATTAAAACAACTATATAATTGCAATTTATTTTGTTATGACGACTTATTTCATCATTAATTTTATTTGACCCACGACTTATATTCTTCATATTTACATATTTTTATTAAGATTAATGATCAAATGTTATGTTCATAAGTCAACAGCACCATTCATTTAAAAATAGAATGAATAACAATCCACTGTAGTACTCTAGAGGATTGTATCTCTTAATGAACTTAACATTACTCTAGATAGGATTGTATCTCTTAATTAACTTAACATTATTAAATTGTCTCACTACTGTTGATGCGAAAAACACACACTGGCCTGGGAGATCTATTTAACTCCAGTGCAGGTCCTAAATCTTGCTCTTGGGTTCAAACAGAAAGGGCAGACAACATATGTCAAACAGAAAGCCTAATATACTTTAATGTGATAACATCTTAATATAAAGGGCAGATTTAGCATGTCAATCAAGCACACAATGAATAAAATAGCTAAATCAGGTAAGATCGGCTAAAACTCCGATACTATCTTCATTAGAGATCATAAAACAAGCCAGATATTGCAATTATGGATATTACTTAATAGATCGAACTCAACCGATGCAACATTAAGCATAAAAATAAGTACAAGATCTAGACAAGATGATGAAAGTTTCAAAAAGATGGTAGATAAGCTATATAATCTAGATTAATAATGAAATATAACTCTATCGGCTACTCTCTGGTGATAGATACCAGCCGATCACGGGTTAGATGGCGAAACAAATAAAGACTATGAAGCATATATGATAACTCGACGATTTACGTAGACAAGATTAGAGTATCATAATGATGGAAGCACTAATCACAAGAACGCAAGTCATCATGACAAGTTTACCTCTTGTTGAAGATCGGAATCGATGCAGCTCAACCCGAAAGCAAGAACTCGTCGAAACAAACGAAAGTAAAAGGGTGGCGATGCGCCAAGAGTGTTATTGAACTGTTGTTGTCAATTACATGGGTTCGGGTCATATTTATACCCGAGATAAATGATAGGTCCTTGCCGGACACGACTCTTATCTCTAACAAACTCTAAGATACAAACAAGTCATTGTGGCAGACTCTTGCCGAAACATATCTCTAAAGAAACTATTTAAAATACCCTAATTAATGGATACAATTGCCTATCTAAGAGCTTATCTCCATCGTGGCAATCCTCATATAGCACGTTGATCAATTCCGGAAACGGTTTCATAACCATCTCAACGAAATCGGTTGTATCGGCTATATCCGCTATCTTCTGTCCGATCCATCTCAGCCGATGCAGTCTTCAGCCAATGCCTGTGTAGCCGATGCGCACTCTATTCTTCGAGTACAATTCTTTACCAAATCCACTTTGATTCCAATGCCGAATCTGGTTCATGATTTACCAAATTTGGTCGTTAACACATGCCCCCCAAGTCCGCTATATTGGTAATGTTGCAGATTTGCTCAATTTCATCTTCCGAGATTAACTAGGGTTTCCTTCTCCGATTCTGTTTTGGCCGTTTCCGTGCTTTATTTTAAATAATAACCACCGCTTTGCACTTTTCACGGCGTCACCTCCGTTCTCACCGCTCTAACCAAAAACTTTCCCCAATCTTCCCCGGCAACCTCCTCGAGCTTTCCGGCGACTCCACGGGCGATTCCCTGTGACGACAACTCCCTCGCCAGCAATGTCGACCTCCGCCGACCTTTCAAGCGCACCAACCGCCGAATATGCTGAGTTAAGTACCATCGGCTAAATCTCCTCTTTTTCGCGCAAGACCGATTCTTTCTTTGCTCAATCTTCTATTCTTTTCTTTTGTAGCATCTTTCTCATCAAGTTGCGGTTCCTAGCATAACCGATGAGTATCAATTTTATCTTGGCCCAATCAGCAACTTAGATCCCACTAAGTTCATCAATGCTGAAACCAATCGGATCCCCTTCAGATTTGCCAACTCCAATTTAGGTCTTTGGAAAAACACCTTCAAATCTTGGCCATCTGCCGAGAAAAGTTGGCCAGCTTGGTATATGCGGGTATCGGCTAGAAAGCGCACCCATTGGGATGAAATCGGCATAGCTCAAGCTCTAGCCCTGACCGCAGCAGATATGGCTAAGGATGAACCCATGATGTCAGCTGCAACTTACTTTTGGTCCACAGCCTTAAATGCTTTCATTTTTACTCAAGGACCGATGACCCCTACTCTTTTGGATGTTACGATGATAATTGGTCTGGACGTAACATCATCGGCTAATCCAGTTAGCCTGAACATGAAGCCCAACTTTGAGTTCAAAACCCGGAGCATTGGTGGCTGGTCAGGGTTTGTTGCAAAGAACATGGGCACGACCAGTTACCCCAAGAGAGCACACAACCTTCCTCCTGATATGGCTAGAAAAATTCTTGTTTTGCGGCCCAAGCTGTAGTCCTATTGCCAACTGGCAGCATATAGCCGAGAATCTAGTAGAAAAGAAACAATTTCCCCTTGGGAAATATCTCCTAGGTTATCTGTATGTTATCTGTATCAGACCCTGAGCACTGCATCGGCTAAGATAGCCTCAGGATTGCTAATCGGCATAGGAGGTCCTTGGTGGGGGCGACGCTAATGGGCGGGTGATCACTGCCAGCGATCACCCCCCCCCCCATCCCCCTATACGTCCTCTCCCCCTTCCTTCTCCCCTTCTTCTCTTCCTCCTACACCATAAATTTTAAAATAATAAAAAAACAAAGTTAGAAAATTTTATGTATAAAAATACTATATATGAAAAATATTTGAATTCAAATTTAAATTTGAATCGGATATATAAACTTTTTACTTATAAACTTTGGGTCTATAAACTT